GTGGTTTTGATAATATCTTATTATTATTTAATAATAATTATTTTCTAAATTTGATGTCTTTGTGTCAAGTATGTTTTCATCTGACTGGTAATCTAATTTTTTGCTTTCTTTTTTATTTTTTAACCTTTGTTGTATTTTTTACAGTTCTCTTTCTATACACGTGGAGTAATTTTTTATGTAATAATATGGGGGGGGGGAAACAACAAAAACTAAGTGAAGGAAAGCAAACAAACTTAGCAGATAATAACAGTAATTATATGAAAATGTGATAATATTAAAATGAGTAAAATGCTTAACATGCTAAGATTTTATTATTTGCAGCTAATAACTCAAGGAGATTGGGGGGGGGCTTTTGCCCCTTCTTTTTCTAACTGTCTTTTAAGTCCCTAAAACCCCCGCCCCCTTACAGGATGTCACTTCTACAGATGTGTTACTACAGACCTATGATGAAAAAGCTTCGCCACCACCTGCAGCAACAGACACCAAAGTTTTCAAAGTGCCCACAGCTATCTTCTTTCAAAGGATATAGACTGACGGGGGAGTGGGGCTGACAAAGGGGGGAGGAGTTGAATTGCAAGGACATTTTCTCACTTGAACCTTAAGACTGTGCTCCAGGATTGAGAAGATCACAATTGTCTCAAGATATGCAACTGATATTTTATTAGTTTGTTTTGTATTATGTGTTATTACGTAAGGATGTTGAAATGTGTCTGACAGTGTGTTATTTCCACAAAGGGGGGGGCTATTTTTGTGTTTAATTGTTTTTATGTTTAATGTCTTATTCCTTACACCCCAGTGGAGGATTCTCATACATTTTATACTTTCTAATAGCTCACACTATTGTGTAGTCCAATGTTTAGATCAATTTATAACCACATTTCATTGTTCCACCTGGCACTATGCCAACCTTCCCTACCCATTTTAAAAAAAATGTGCCAAAACTTGCTTTACCAAGGAGAAGCTTCTAAGAAACATGAAGGTGGATATGCTTTGGTTTAGCAGGAATGATCCCTTATAGACTTAAATTGACTTATTTGGACAACTGCCCTTGTTAAGAATGGTTGTCTTTTAACAGATTGGTTTGAAGAGTTGAGAACCATGGGGCAAGAAAAATTCAAATTGGACTCAGTTTGAATTGGGCAAGTGTATCCAGGCTGCAATTAGCTTTTTGGTCCTTTAAGTGCAAGTGAGCGACTTCCCATGAGTGCAAGACCACAGCCTATAATAAAATCCCATAGAAAGGCCAAGGCCAAGGCATCTCCCTCACGAGATGTCCAAACCTGTGCCAGCTATGGTGAATGCCAGGCGACATGGTTAAATGAAAGCCCCGAGGGGATTCAACAGACAGGATGTGTTGCTGTAGCACTATGTCAGTGTGAGACCACAGAAGAGCTAGCTTGACACCTGAGAAACACACAAAAATGGCGAAGGACAAAACACCAACTGCATTTTTCAGTCATTAGTGGACCTTCCTGCTAGGTGTAAAGCATAGAACACTATTGAGTATATAGTCTCTCCCAAAGTGTTAGAATGCCACAAGTAATTTAGTAGCAAAACGCAACATGTGTTATTTTTATATGATATATTTATACAAAGACATCCATTTACAACATATGATGTTATTATTTGTGGGGCAAAAATTTTTAAGAAAAATTCTAGCCCCAAAGGGGGGAATAATGTGATAGGAATTTTATGGTCTTAAATATATAGTAATGTTCATAACTGCACATACATAGATCAGCACAGGAAAGCCAACCTGGAACCATTTTGATTCCTAAACTGACCAAATCCTTTCTCTGCAAGGTTAAAAATTTCCTTCACAAATCCTGTCTTAATCTGTGTTTGAATAAGGTGTGAGCCTGTGACCTGGCCCAGGAAATAAGTATTTTACCACTACAAAAGAATGGCCAGGCTCCCCAGGAAATCCAATCAAGTAACCTGCTAGACAGGAGATAAACTGTGACAGGAGAAAAACAACATTTAAATTTCTGTGAACAACATTTAAATTTCTGTGATGTAGGTGGGATGTATCTGAGGGGTGGTCTTAGGTTACACCCCTTCTGTGATGTATGCATAATGTTTCTGGGGGTGGTCTTGATCTAGAGAATGGGAATTTCAAAAGTCTTTATAAGGTCTTGCACACCATCTTTCTGGGTCCTCCTCCTCTCCTGCGTGTGAGGGAGTACCCTGTTGCAACAGATCAATAAAGATCAAGCTTACTAGCTGCTTTGCTTCTCAATATTCTCTGGTTGGCCTCTGTTATTTTCTCCTACCAATAGGGAACCTATGTAAGGACTCTATATGGGCTCTTGGATACCCCATAAGGGAAAAGGGCATATATTTTATTTACAACAGTAGTAACCTTACTCCATGGACTACTGCCTGAGTACATAGGCCCTTCCGCCAATGTGAAGGCTCTTAACCACATGCTGTCTGCCTTTACAGTAGCCTGTGTTGCACTGATTTGAAACAGGCTGTTGTTTATTAAGTTAGTGATAAGCTGCAGGCAGGGGGAGAATGATAACATATTGTAGGGAAATGTAAATTGTAGGGAAATGGAAAAGCCCCTTGGGTGGAGGCAACTAAAATCAGGGAATCTGCTGGGGGAGGGGCACTTTATCCTTTCCCTACCTGCTTCTTTGCCAGTTCCAAAATCCCTCCTCCAGCAGCTGTCTGTTACATGCTTTTAATGCACTGGCAAAGCTATTGAGGGATATTAGAGCAGAGAAACAGTCATCGCCTTCACACACCAAACCACCACATCCACTACCTTACCGCTCAATATCATCTTCTGTTTTCCTCATCTAAAACCAGCAAGCTATCATTACATGCACTTGCACATAGCAAGTAGTTTGGGCATCATTGCTCATTGTTATGCATTTTATGTTGCACTAGTGTCAAGCTACATGCACACACATATATTTAGCTTTGAGAGATCCAGAGGAAGTGGTCTGAGGAATTCCAGCTCTAGCAACATATGAACATTCTTTTAAAGGCATCCCAAAGGCAATTTACTAGGTAAACAACTTCTAAATAATCCTGTTTAGGAATTGTTCGCATAGAGTAGCTGCAATTAGAAAGGAAGCCTTTTGTGTGCCAAAGTTGTGAACATGTTGGAATGTTGGAAGGAGGAAGACTGACACATTCCATGATGCTCCGTTTAGAATGATGCTCTTTAGAAGAAAACTAAACTGGGGCTGCCTAGCAACCATTGCCAGGCAGAACAACCTCCCTGCTTTCAGAGCATCATTGCCACCAATATATCTGTGGGAGAGAAGACCCAAACTGGAAATAAGCAGAGGTGTTTGAAGGTCAGAAGAAGGAAGGAAATCTTTATATTGGGAAAAGGTGCGTTTTGGTGACACCAAATGGGAGGAGTGGTGGCTGGATAGAGCTGAAGAGTAATCTAAACCAAAAGTGGGGTTTAACTGTGAGAGTATATGGTCACCAGGACTGTCAGGGACCAAAGTTTAGCCTTATTGGTTGGCACTGGGCAAATCTTTGTACATATTAGCCTTTATAAGACCATGTTGGGTTATGAAAGATTACCCATTGGGCACTGCTTTTACTGGCTAAAATTAGCCATAAAAGCTCCAAAAGGCCCACTTTATTGTTGGTTTGGAATGGAGGCTTGGTCTATCATGTTCTTGTACTACTTGAAAACTTCCCTTCCAGACCTTGACAAAGGCCCCACACCAAAACGTGGGGCCACCACACCACACTCGACCAGCTATGAGTATTCTGCCAGTAAGAAGATGCAAAGCAGCAGACAGGTAGGAGGAGGACTTGACTGTCCCATAACTGGACCAAGGCCCTCTTAAACTGCCATCTTCACAACTGTATGGTTCTGCCCAGTACACAGTGCAAAGGACTAAATATCCTACTGTAATACTTGATTTTTATTTCTATGCCAATGTTGTATGTTGTTCTGGTAATTTTTCAGAGAAGCAATACATAACAATTACCCCTTTAAAATAAAATAAGAAAAGTTGGTTTCTGATTGTTAGAAAAACCTTTTGTACCCTAAGTAATTTTTAAAAGCCGCATATTATTTTTTCTGTGACAGCACACAAAATCTGTGGGCTTGGAGAAAGCAGTCTAACCTGTCAATATTAGCACACTTAAATTTTCTACAGTTACAAATTCTTTAAGATGATGAAAACCAAGTTCTACAGAACCTGATTTCCGACATGTTATTATCACGACTGTTATATCCACCCACCCAAGCAGAGAAGTGACATTCTATAAAGACGTTATGGACTGGCATTTTTCAATGTGGGGCTTGGATTTCAGAAGCTTGACCCTTAAACTGGCACCCATCCAAATGCGTGTGCTTCTGGGGAGATGGAGCTAGAGGTTGGGACATTTCGATCGAGCGGGACAGCAGCACTCAATTTGGGGTGAATTGGGGAGAGAAAGGAGACATGCCAAGACACAAGCCTGGAAACAGAAATCCCTCTCATCCTGCCATTGCTCGCTCAGGGGCACTATCCTCTTCCCCCCCCATCTTTTCCTACATTATGGGTTCCAGAGTTGAAAGTCTGAAAATAATGTCCGAGCCCCGCAGTAGTGAGTGACTCCCTCTCTCTGCAAACAGCTCTCTGCATTTGCTCAGAGGCGCTTGAAAACAATATTAATAATGCCGATGATGTGTCCCTGCGTTGATTTAGCGCAGGCACTGAAGACGAGTGGCCAGAGCGCTGCGTCCCTTCGGCCAGTCCGTGGCACCCGAACGACAAGGTAGCCGCCAGCAGCAAACAGCAGCAGCACCAGCTCCTCGCGCACAACCTTGAATGACGAGAGATAGAGAGAGGGAGGGAGAGGCGGGCGAGAGGGGGAAGTAGGAGGAGCAGGAGGCCGCGCCGATTGGCCTCTCTGCGCCGCTCCGAGCTCCCGCATTGGGCGCTGCGGCTCACCCGCCTCCCTCTCCCCCGTCCTCCGGCAGGTCCCGCCCCCTTGCCGGAGCCAACAAGCTAGGTTGCGCGCCTATTGCAAAAGGTGCCTCTCCCCCCCCCAACCCGCCTTTCCCTTCCCTTATTGCTGCTGCTGCCGCCGCCGCCGCCAATGTTGGTGCTGCCGCCGCCGCCGCTGCCGCTGCGGAGAAGGAGGTGGACGTGCTAGGCCGGAGCGCCCTGCCCACTGCCGCCGTCCCTGTGTCCCCTTCCTCCTGCCGGGGGCCTTGCGCTGAGCTGGGGCCCGGCGGGGAGGGGGCATGGCTGCTTCGCCTGGGGCCCGGCAGGCCGCCTGGGGGGCAGGCACGGGCAATCGGGGAAGGGGGACCCGGTGGTGAGGGGACTCCTCCTCCTCCTCTTCCTGCCTGCCTGCCTGTGCGTGGGGTAAGTCCATGGGGTGGGGTGGGATGCTGCTTGCCTCCAGCCCCTCTCCTTGCAAATCCCTCTGTGTGTGCCTATGTGGGGGTGCTGTGGGAGGAGTTAGGGGTGCGCAGAGAGGAGAGGGTGGGGTGGAGGAAGGAGGGGGGTGTAGGAGAGGTTGGGGAGGGTAAACAAGTGTGGGGCGCTGGGAGCAAAAGGAAGGGGTTCGGGGTTTTATTTTTATTTATTTTTTTGGAGGGGGATTAAGGTGCGCCTTGTTAGTTTGCATGGCTTTAAACGGAAATTAAGATGACTCCATGGAGGAGCAGTTGTTAAACTGGATGGCTCAACAGAGTCTTTATTTCTTCTCGTCCCCAAATGTTCACATTCAGTGTATCTCTGTCAGGGAGCAAAACAATAGCGAGGGCTGTTGCATCCATGCCTTTCCCAGAAGCATCTGGCTGGATGCAGGGTGCTGGGCTGGACAGACCTTTGACCTGATCCAACGGGACACTTTTTCTCTCCCCCCCCCCCTTTGCTCTCTCAGAAAGGATTGGGGAAATTCCTGATACATGAGATCTGCTGAGAGCCAGTGTGGGGCAGTGGTCGGGCTGTTAGACCAGTGAGACCCAGGTTCGAATCTACCCCTCAGCCGTGAAACTTGCCACTGGGTGACCTTGGGCCTGCCACCCTCCCTTAACACAGTTGTTGTGCAGATAAAAGGGGAGAAAGAGAAGCATGTGTGCTGCCCTAAGCTCCTTGAAAGACGTGGGAGGCATAAGTTATAAATTGTAATCATCCAGCTAACTATACTTTGATCCATACCTCCATGTGCATTGGCATGGTATCCCTGGATACCAGGTGCTGGGGGGCATCCAATGGGCAAGGGCTGCTGCCCTCATGCCCTGCTTGTGAGCTTCAAGGGTATCTGCCCAGCTGCTGCTGGATTTCAGGTACCATTGCTCTGGTATGGCAGTTGTTCAGCAAGCAGAGAAGAGGAGGATGTTAAAGTGAGTCTGGGTTTTTCTAGGGGTGGAAAGAGAGTCAGCTATGGGATGTGGCTGGCAAGTCGACTTGTGGGATGGAGTGCTTAAAGTGGGTTTGAGGGGCTAGCAAGTGAAATAAGCAGTTAAGTTATGTTGCAGAGGGGAGAAAGGTGTGGTGGTATTCAGGGTGGGGCAGGGGAAGAGAAAGATTGGGAAAGCAGCTATAAATCTTAAGGAAGGGATTAGAAAGTAAATAAGTGGGGCGGGAGAGGAAGTTAATGAGAATGCAGCAATTAAATAGGGTGTGGGGGATATTGAGTTTGAAACAGTGGGGTTGACAACATTGTGGTTGAAGGAAGGAGACTGGGCAGAGAAGTGATATGCTTTGGCAGGGGTCAGGCCCAGGTCTGTTTTTGGGTGTGTGGGTGTGCTGAAGATAGGATTAAAAGGTTAAGATGAACTGGCCATGATAGGAGGAGACTCCCGGGGGAAACGTATTAGCAGGAGTAAAGATGTGAGTTCATGGTAGAATCATAGAGTTGGAAGGGACCCCATGGATCACCTAGTCCAATCCCCTGCATTGCAGGAATTGCAGCTAAAGAATTCATGACCAGTGGCCATTCAACCTCTGCTTTAAAATCTGCATTGAAGGAGAGCCCACCACTTTCCAAGGTAGTCTGTGCTGCTGCCTTACTGGTAGGTAAAAAGAGGCAGGAAAAGAGGGGTACGCTTTGGTGCCTGTGTGATGTAAAGGCAGTGAGAGACCTAGAATGTGGGCTTGATCTAAAGCACTGTTTCCCAAACTTGTGTCTCTGGCTGTTCTGGGACTACAACTCCCATCATCCCTGGCTAGCAGGACTAGTGGCCAGGGATGATGGGAATTGTAGTTCACAAAACAGAGTTGGGAAACTCTGATCCAAAATGACAACTCTTGTAGTTTGGACAAGCTGGCCCACAAAGTACCGTTGTCTTCAGAAACTCAGATGGGCTGAGTCTTCACCAGGTGCATGTAAAAAAGTGTGTGTGTGTGTGTGTGTATTGGAACGTGCCCATCCCACCACTAGCTCAGTTGTTTTGCCAGGTATGATTTCAAGCGGATCTCACTCCCAGAACCTGTTTCCAGAATATGAGAAGTAATAAGCACAAAGGCACAAAAGGGTGCCTCTGAGCAGACCTAGAGTGCATTACTCTCACTGGGTGTTTTTTTAAGTGCACATTTAGCTTATTACTATTATTTTATAAAATATATATAGCAAAGGGCAAACAATATAGCAAAGAAAATAACAGAAAGCACTCATATTGTACACAACACAAATTCCAGCAGGAAGAAAGAAAGTATATTGCTGTGTTGAGTAATGGCAGCCTGCCCACCACACGTCTCGGGGATTAGGACATCCAGGTGAGAGAGAATTTTGTTTTGCAGTGGGGATTTGTGCCTGAGCCCTTCTCTACCACCAAAATGCTTCTGGGTCTGTGTCACGCTCCCAAATTATACCCTGCTTAAGGGAGTGGGAAAGAACAGCAGTTTCCTAATGAAACAGTCACTTTGTTTAATCACGTTGTGGAGACACAACTTTTCAGGATCAGAACGGGTCATGGGTTCTATGGCTTCAAGCAACCTTTTCCAACCTATTTCCGACCGTGGCTCACTTCCGACCTTGTTTCCTTCCTGTGCCATTCCCCTTGGGCGTGGCCAGGGGCGCAGGGAGGCAGCTACCCTCCCCCAAATACCATATTTTTTGCTCTGTAAGACTCACTGTTTCCCTCCTAAAAAGTAAGGGGAAATGTGTGTGCGTCTTATGGAGCGAATGCAGGCTGCGCAGCTATCCCAGAAACCAGAACAGCAAGAGGGATCGCTGCTTTCGCTGTGCAGCGATCCCTCTTGCTGTTCTGGCTTCTGGGATTCAGTATTTTTTTTCCTCTTGTTTTCCTCCTCCAAAAACTAGGTGCGTCTTATGGTCTGGTGCGTCTTATAGAGCGAAAAATACGGGTAAGTAAAAATCAATACAAATATGAGGTTCTGGCCCCCAAAAAAGTCCTGGCTACACCCATGGTAGAAAGGTAGCTATTTAAATGTTTTGTTTGTAAATAGAACAGGTTTTGTTTACATTTTTTTATAATTTATACAAAGTACAATTATACATAAAATGATAGCAACATAATGAAATGTTGTTGAAGCAGAAAAACATAGAATTATGGAACGGGAGGGGACCACAAGGGTCATCTTTCTAGTGCACCCCCCTGCAATGTAGGAAACTCATCTCCACGAAAGATGGCAATCCAGCCTCCACTTAGATACCTTCAAGGAAGGAGAGTCTGGAACCTCCATCTTCCATGTATTATAAAAAGTAAACAACAGTTATTTGACGCATAGGGGCAAAGCTACTGAGGTCAGCCCTCACTGACCTGGTGCAAAGAGATCTTGTCTTCTGGAAGAGTCCTGGCTGCCTAGACAAAACATGACAGTCCCCCCCGCCCCCCTTACCAGGGGTAAGACCCACTGAACTCAGTGCTACTTTCTTCTGAGTAGGCACTTAGTTATTTACTTGATGCAAGTCAGCAGCACCAGGCGGCCCTGCTCTGCTAGGCGCTGGGGTGGATTTCACCCTGCGCCTTGCAGAGCCGGGCTGACACTGCCGGCGGGCCCTGCGCCCCTCAGCAACATCCGAAGACACTGATCTGCTAGGTGCTGGAGTGGATTGCACCCTGCACCTTGCAGAGTCAGGCCCAGGCTGCCACCGGGCCCAGAACTAGTGGCAGCAACAAGCAGCTCTGGCTCACCCAGCCTTACCCATTGCCACCCAACCACCGCACTTACCTGATCTGGAGGCTCTGGATTGCGAGCTCTTCTGGTCAAAATGGGAGCCTCAGCAATTGCCCTCTCCCGCCGGAAACAAGCCAGGATTGCTCCAAGAAAATGCACGTGGCAAATAGGAGCATTAGGCCCTGGTGGGCTGCTTTCTTACCCACTTGTGATTGGCCAAGTAGATAGCCAGCCAATCAGGATTTTTTTAAAATAAAAAAAGGATCCCCCCCTTTTCACTTCTCTTTGTGGCCCCCTAACCTTGTGCTGGGGTCCCCGATTTACACATTTTCCACCCATGGCCCCCATGGAATATTCTGAGCCCCCTCCTTGGGGCCACATGTCCCCCGATTAGGAAACACTTACTTAGAGAAACCTTTCCCAGTCTTGGTTCCCCAGGTGCTGGACTACAACTCCCATCATCCCTGACCATTGGCCCTGTTTAGGGATGATGGGAGTTGTAGTCCAACAACATCTGAGGACCCAAGTTCGGGAAGGGCTGCTCTCAAGGGTTTCAGTTAAGGGAGGCAGAAATTGGAGTGTTCTGACAGTGCATTCTAAATTGGGAGTATGGGGTGTATTGGGGTTGATATGGTGGCATGCGTGCAGAGAGGCACTCGATTGACACAGGAGTGCAGCAAAATGGTGGGGAAGGGTATCAAGGTGAGAGGAGAAACAGCTTTGCAGAATGGGTTGGGAGTGCTGAGTCAGGGAGCAGAGGAAGACCGTGTGATGGGGCTTGAGAGTTGGCTGAGAGGCCTGGTGGAGGAGAAAGTTATGTGAGGTTCAGGGGAAGCTATACGAAATAGGCAAGCCAGCCTCACATCTAAGGTTTGGAGTGGGCTACGGTATGTCAAGACATGTCTGAAATAGATAGCCAATGAAAACTGATAAAACCCCCCTATTCCTTCCTTCCTTCCTTCCTTCCTTCCTTCCTTCCTTCCTTGCAAGCCCTCAAAGGCTATGGGCTGAGGTTGAGGGGCTGAAGTGGTCGGTGAGAACAGTTCTTCTAGGTCTCCCTTTCCTTATATTGCTGTGCTTCCTGCTGATGGTTCCCCTAAAAAAAAGTCCCTTTCCTGTTGGGACCAACTCCCCCTTTGGCTTCTGGTCTAGACAGGGTGGGGGGTATCCTTCTGATTCCAGATGGCTGGCCGCAGGGAGGCATTGGAGGAAAGGAGGCTCCCATAGTGTCTGGATTTTGTTTGCCCATTGTTAGGCTAATGAAGCCTGTGTCTGGTGTCGAAGTAGCCCTTCTCCCAACAATAGGGGGCTAGGAAGAGCCTCAAGTTATTGGCAGGCCCTGCAAGCTGGCCCATTCTTTGTCAGCTAGCTTCCCCCACCCTCCCTGTATTATGCCAAACCTTCCATATCTGGCTTTCCCCTCGGTGGCGGATGGCAGCCTCTGGTCCTTGCTTCAATAGGGAATATGGCAAGAGAGGAAGACGAGTGAGATGTGATTTAAAGAGCAGAACCATGGTACCAGTCTACTTGCCTCTGTAGGTATCCCAGCTGAAGATGGCCACTTGAGAAGAGGTTACTTCTACACCCCTAGTTAGATTTGGTGTTTGAAAGGGGATATAGGTTTGCATGCATTTTACATGTGCATGCAGCAATTTGCCTGTCTCTGTCTGTCTGTCATATCCTGCCATTACTCCCAAAGAGCTCAGAGCAGCAAACACGTCATGTGTGCGCGTGTGTAAACATTCTCTCAAGCACTGATTTCAGGGTTGCCACTATCTTCTGCCGATCAAATGCCTCGGTAAATTGGAATGTTTTAAAATTCCTTCCGAGAGTCTGGTTTCCTTTTTAGTTATGACTGCAGCATTGATAAAAAAGATTGCAAACTTTCAGATGTCAAGACCCCTAAAAAATGGAAAAAGAGAAGCACCAGACTCAGAAAAGAGTAGAATTATACACACACATTTTTCAGTTCTTGATTTTGTTCATGTTGGTGTCAAATTTCTAGGTGCCTGGCACAGCTAGGAGATTCATTCTCATGCTCTCTCTCTCTCAACACACCTATAAATACTATATAACAAAATACCAGCCTGAGTACAAGGATAGAACAAATTGAAAAGCCCCCCCCCCCTTGGACCAGATAGTCTTTAAATTATAGGAAATAAACTTTTGAGCTGCACAGATTCCTTCTTCATGTTTGGATATTTTAGAGCAGCTTTTTTGTCTGTATCACTAATACATAGATTCTTTCCCCCACCTCCAAATTGAGCCAGCAGTGTGGCGGCTCCATCTTCCAAGCACTCTTCCCTTTCCCTGGTTGCCTCCCTGTATTCATTTTACCGACACAGGCTGTGGCTTTCCTTGAGGGCCTGGACATTCTCGGCAGGAGAGGGTGAGTCAGCAGGAACTTCTGGATCCTGGAAATGGCCGTGGGTCCAACACACAGGGAGAATTGCTATGGACGGACTGTTGCTCTCATTGATGGGGACTTTTGCCTGCATCCTCTTAATGAACCCTTTTGAAGACCGGTCCCTTCTCCCGTCTTGTCTTTTGTAGAAGGAGGAGGGGCTTGATGATGGATCAGGGAGGTGACTGGGAAGGCAGTGGCCCAGGAATGGAGTCTTGGCTATTTTCAGATTTCTGTCTTTCCCTCCTCCTTGGTCCTCCCTGCATTGGGTAGACAGCATTGCTTTAATCTGTCAATTTTCTCCTTTGCATGCATTCGTCTTGTATGTCACAATCTGTTAACGGTGCCAGCGTTTTTTGATACAAAGAACACAGGCAGTTTTGGGGTGGTGTCAGCCAGTTTGCTTTCTGCTTTGTGTAGGACCCTTGTCCATTGGAGGCAGTGGGAGATGTGCTTTCTTTTCTCCCTCATATGCACTTCCCTTCTCTCCCCCTCCTTTGCATTGCGAGATCAGTTCATAGCTGCAGCTAGGGATGCAGTCTTGGGGGGGATTGTGGAGGCTGCAACTGAGTGAAGCTTTCGTGGGCAAGATTCGGTGAGTGGGATTTACTCCCACTTAAGACAACTGTTTTTGGAGGCAGAGATTAGACAGTCTAGCTCAAACCTGGACCAGGGGAATAAGTGTCCCTCTATTGTTTGGTGGCAAAGCCGTCTGCTCATGACTCACTACAGGCTGGTGGTGCAAGCTGACTTGGGGATAATCCTGGGTTGAGGTAGCAGGTGCTGTGTGCTAAACCATTAAGTTGGATTTTGTGTCCTTAGGAATCATGCCGATTTGCATAACTTTATTTTCTCATTCTTGCCGCTTGGCATAACTTAATCTGGCTTTGCTAGTCATGGAGGGTGCAAAGACCCCGAAACCCCATCCCCAAGCACTGAATCTTACTAATCGTGCTCTCTGCTGCTGAGATTCCAGCAGGCATTGTTGCTATCAAGACACATAACCACAAGGGCTAGAAGCCTCTCCAGTGATAGGTTGCCTGTTAAAATAAAATTAAAAATGTGAAACTGAGATTCTCGGCCATATTCAGAACTATATTCTGTGTTCTCTGCCTTGTCTGTGCTCCTCCAAAATCACAGCCCTGCTCTCTTTAATCTGTTTCAACTCAGTCTTTGGATTTATTGCCGGGTTTTGTGCATGTCCCAGTTCTGTGGTAGGAGAAGCAATTGTGGAATTTGATGCTCGTTATATGCAGCATCTTGAAAATCTCAGCTTTTCATGTCATCTTAAAAAAAACCCCAAAAAACCCCAAACCCTCTAGCATTTATGGCGGTAGAAGCAAGCTTGAAAGTGTGTGTTCAGTGCCTGGTGAAGGAGCCAGAGAAGCGACTGAGCAGCAGATTCAGTTCTAGATGGGTAACGCTATGCGGTGCAGCAAAAACAACCGGGTGTCATGGACTGGCTAGAAACAGAGGAGTGGTGGGAGCTACCAGCTGGGGAACCCCAAAGGGATGAAAGTTCAGACCCAGGGGATTGGTGGTGGGGCGATGGGAGAGAGGTGGTGGTCAGAGGGAGAAGACTGTGAGGAGGAGGTGTCGGAAACTGAAGAGGTAACAGGGTTTAGTGAGCAGGAAGAGGCTGTGGCAGAAAGAAGTCCAGAATCAGAAGCAGCAGAGGAGGGAGGCCAAGAAGCAGAGATGAGTCAGGCTGGTGAAGGAACCAGAGTGTGTGACCCTCCTGCTGCAACAAGCTCCCCTCCTCCATCGTCTCCCAGAACCAGGGGAGGTGTGAGGCAGGAGAAGCAAAGACAGGCCTACCGGCGTAGTCTCAGATTGCTTGGGTAGGACCTGGGAAAGGAGGAGACATAGGCAGCTGTGGGAAGGTGGGGACCTTCAGTCTCCACAGCTGCCTCATAGGAGCAAGACCTACCGAGAAACGTTGCTGTGCTCATTAGGTCTTGCTCTCCTGAGCAGACCCTGCTTCTTCTAATAAAGAGTTAGCTTCATGTGTTGTGTTGCTGGCTCGCTCCTGACATCAGGTCTTGTAGTAGCTTAAATAACGGTAAAGGTACCCCTGACCATTAGGTCCAGTCGTGGACGATCCTGGGGTTTTGCGCTCATCTCGCTCTATAGGCCGAGGGAGCTGGCGTTTGTCTGCAGACAGCTTCTGGATCATGTGGCCAGCATGACTAAACCGCTTCTGGCGAACCAGAGCAGCGCACAGAAACTCCATTACCTAACCCAATATACACTGGTACCTTGGTTTAAGAACAGTTTAGTTTATGAACATCTTGGATTAAGAACGCTGCAAACTGGAAGTAGGTGTTTTGGTTTGTGATCTTTGCCTTGGAAGCAGAACATGTTCCACTTTCTGTTGAGTGTGTTCCATTTGTAAATTGAGTCCCCCGCTGCTATGGGAAAGCACGCCTTGGTTTAAGAATGCTTTGGTTTAAGAACGGACTTCCGGAATGGATTAACAAGGTAGCTTCAGGCGAGCCACTCTCTCCCAGTCCCTAATCTGCAGTGTGCGGGTGGTAAGTGTTGACTTGCCTTGCAGAGCTCTTGTATGGGTTGCAAGAAGATTAAACGCTTGAAGAGTTTGGGCATTATATGAACACTTAAATGCTCTTATTGGAAAGGAGAGGGGAATGCAGCAAAAGGGCCAGGGATTGGAAGCAGTCCAGTCACAATGCAGAAGGTTATTGTGGCACAGGGAGCTGGATATGGTGAGTGCTACTGGCTGCCAGGGAAAGGGGAGAGAGAATGGTACGCACACAACAAATTGAGTCACACCATGGTGTGGCTGGAGGTTGTGTGGCGGCATGTGGTTATGATATGCCCAGTGTCCCTTCTGGAACCATGGGAGGAGCTGCAGCAGCCTTGCAGGTAAGGAGGTTGCGAGGCAAAGGGGGACAAGGACATCAGGCAGACGCTGCAAAGGGGGGAAGAAACTTTACAGACCAGGTCAGAAAGCTATGACCATCACTATTATTTAGATTTGTTCCTTGCCTCTTCAAACAAACCGGCTTAACAGTGGCTCTGTTTTGTTTCTATTTCTAGAGTCAGGCTGTTGTTAAACAGTTCTACATGATATTGGTGGGGTTTTTAAGCTCCCAGATGGAAAATTGGAAAAAAGTTCTTTTTATAATATGCATATACTATAATATATGCATATTATATGCTTATATAATATACTTGCTAGCAAATTATTTAATCTGCTTACCGAGGCTGCAATGTTTAGTTGGTTGTTGCATCAGATTAATCAATTAAACTTTTTTGACAATTTCAGAGGTGTCCTCAATTAGGCAGTAGATGATGATGATGATAATAAGAATTATAATAATAATGTGGCTTACATAAACTACAGAAGGCAGGTGCCATCTTCAAAGAAGCATTCTCTTTCGAAGAGAAGGGAATACACTGAGAATGGTGTCTGCTGCACCAGCTAAAAGCATTGTTTCTTTTTCTCCCTCTCCAGAGCCGTGGTTTAGTGTGTAGGTGCTTCTAAATTAATATATTGTTGTTTAGAATTTAGAATTTAGAATTCACATCACTGTCCTCTTTTCCAACCCACAAGCCCCTCCTCCAGCTTGAATGGAGATTGCAGCCTGACCACCGAATCCTGTCTTGTCTTTGCAGGGGGATCCCTTCCCATTTCAGCCTGGCCTCTGCTATGTTGCGTTCTCCGCATCTTCTCCAATAGCTTTTGCAAATGAAAATGGAGGAAATGACTTTGTCGGGCCTGGATAACAGCAAGTTGGAGGTAAGTTGCCTCCCTTGAGGATGAAAGGCTTCTTACAAGGATTTGGAGGGAGCAGTGCCATCAAAGGCAGGCAGAAATTGATGGGTTCATGAAAAGCCTGAGGTGGAGGACCTGTTCTCCTAGGTACAGAAGTTCATGCCAGTGTGGTGTAGTGGTTAAGAGCGGTAGACTCGTAATCTGGGGAACCGGGTTCGCTTCCCCGCTCCTCCACATGCAGCTGCTGGGTGACCTTGGGCCAGTCACACTTCTCTGAAGTCTCTCAGCCTCACTCACCTCACAGAGTGTTTGTTGTGGGGGAGGAAGGGAAGGGAGAATGTTAGCCGCTTTGAGACTTCTTAGGGTAGTGATAAAGTGGGATATCAAATCCAAACTCTTCATGCAAGCCAGGACTTTAGCCCCAGAGCCTTTCCATCATGAGAGTTGCTGGAAGGATATTAAAAATTGGGATTCCTTCCCCTTTTAATAAAGCGACTTCATCCTTTGTATTGATTGTGTGTTGGAAGCACAACCTATTCTGACATCTATTAGGAATATTGATTCATTTTACATGGTTAAAATTTCACAGCCTTGCTGCCATTTCTTTTGACTTGGTGCCCCGGGAATTTAGAATGAGGCTACACTCACTCTTGTTTCTGTGGTTTACCTCTGAGTAGACTTAACTAGGACTGTACTGCAGTGTAGGCAATTCGGGGTGACCTTTTACGACTGGTTCAAATGACTTGTGTGTGGAAGTGCAAGCCACTTGCATATCCTGTCCGACACCTTCCCCTTCACTTTATCATGTCTGAGACAGCGGTTGGTCTGCCTTAAAAAAAAGCCATGAAGAACGATTGAAGTCTTCCAGGCAGTGTTTGGATTGTAGATGCTGCTTGTATTCTTGAGAACAGAGTTGGGGAGTGAGGGAGGGACATGGCTAGTGGAAATCGTCTTAGCAGGATGCAGCAATGTACATCAATTCGGCTGGATAACTTGGTTGGTACAGCCTGAGACTCTTAATCCCAGAGTCGTGGGTTTGAGCCCCACGCTGGGTGAAAGATTCCTGCATTTCAGGGGGTTGGACTAGATGACCCTTGTGGCCCCTTCCAACTCTACAATTCCAGAGTGTGTTCTGGGTGCCTAACTCTGGACTGGAATCAGATTCTGAGGCTTAAACCATGGGCAATGGGTGCTGCTCCCTGTTCAACCTTGCTCTTGTTCTCTACGGCTCTCACCGGTCTTGTTCTTGTTCTTGGTCTTCTTGCTTCCTAGGCTGTGGCTCATGATATCTATACAGACTTGATTGAGGATGCCTGCCTGGGCTTGTGCTTTGAGGTCCACCGGGCTGTCAAATGTGGCTATTTCTTTTTGGATGACACAGATCCTGAGAGTATGAAGGACTTTGGTAAATATGTGATGCAGCCAATCATTCCCCCACCCCATTGCCCCTTACCAGAAATCCAGCATAGATTTTTAAAGGGTGCTTCTTTGTTTTAATGCCTTGAGTCTAATCCATGGGTAGGCAAACTAAGGCCCAGGGGCCGGATCCGGCCCGATCGCCTTCTTAATCCATCCCGCAGACGGTCCGGGAATCAGCGTGTTTTTACATGAGTAGAATGTGTGCTTTTATTTAAAATGCATCTCCGGGTTATTTGTGGGGCATGGAATTTATTCATTTCCCCGAAAAAATATAGTCCGCCCCCCCCCCACAAGGTCTGAGGGACAGTGGACCCGCCCCCTGCTGAAAAAGTTTGCTGACCCCTGACTCTAATCCGATTCCTTGATTAAATTTGTGCTCAAGCATATATTTAATGCCAGCACAGCTGCCAAAGGTTCATTTTCCTTTTTTTAAAGTTACTTTTTTCTCTCTCCCCCCCCGCCCCCGCCTTCTAAAGTGAGTGATTTAAGAAGCCACTCATAATGGTGGGCTGCAGAATTTTATGCTTGGGGAAAGGGAGGGTGGTTAAATCCAGACCACAATGTGGCACATACAAAGAGCAGGGGAACTGCAGAATAGTGCCTGCAGAACGAATTGCTACAGAGGCAATACGTTCCGTGCTGCAAGGAACTTGCATGAGGGGAGCTTGGTGGCAGGATGACCTTAAAGTCGCCTGGGAAATCTTTTGCTCGAGACTGCAGGATTTAAGAAGAGTGGTTTGGTGAATTAGTGGGGTTCCCCACCACTCCTTTGGATTCAGCCAGTCCCTCCCCACCCTCCCACTTGATGAACCATCTCCCATTTCTTCCCTACTCCCAGAAATTGTAGATCAGCCAGGACTGGATATCTTTGGCCAGGTCTACAACCAGTGGAAGAACAAGGAATGTGTTTGCCCAAACTGCAGCCGAAGCATTGCCGCCTCCCGCTTCGCCCCACACTTGGAGAAGTGCCTTGGCATGGGCCGGAACAGCAGCCGCATTGCCAATAGGAGGTGAGGTCTAAGAATCGGAGCCTTGCCTGAAAACCAGACCTCTCAAAATGGTGTTTCGGGTGAGAAGGCCGAGGGTAGGATTTCTGGAAGAAGGAACAAATGCCAAAAACGGGTGAACTTTTGGCTTCCGGTTCATACCAGGTTGTGCATCTCCTGTGCTTAAAACAATTTTTTGATGTCTTTGCCGTGCTGAACCTAAATTCTGCGCCGCTAAGAAGCTTACGTGGCATGGCTGGAAAATACAGCCCAGATCAACGCTAGCAATTGCCTGGTCTGGTCTGGAGTTGTGGCTAAGAGAGGGTTCAAATCTTGCCTCTGCCCCTGACCTTCCCAAGTCCAAATGGCCTTGGTAAAGCTGCTGTTCTCTGTCCTGACCCTTCTTTTCTTCTTCTCCCCATCCCCGGTCTTCCATATGGGGATCATTACATCATTACACAGAATTCAAAGGGATATTGAAAGGGAGTCCTGAGGGGTTTTGTGTGAATTGCTGTAAATGCTCACGAAGTGTTATAATTGCAATGGCATATTTAAGAACCTGCTGCTGGTGACAAATCAGAAGAAAGTGTGTCTTTGGCCTTGACTCTGCTTGCTCCATTACACTGTATCCTAATAGCAGGGTTTTCAAACTTTCCACCAACAGGGACCCCTTTTTAAAATTCCCTTTTTCGGCAAGAACCCCCTTGCCTTGTTGGCAAGGGTGTGGGAGCAGCTTCTAGGGCCACGTGCTCAGTTCATGTAGATATTTGCCAGTCTTGCTTGGGGGCTTCACCTCTTTGTGGGAACTGGGAATGTGTCATGGAGCACAGCCTTATGCCTGCACTTTGCAGAGGAAGCCAGTGGTGGGAGCACAGGCATTCCTGTTAGTTACGAGTCGGCCTTCAGACGTGTCCGTGTAACTTTCAGAGGAAGTTAATCACCATTAAGTGTCATATTTGCCATTTGAAACGGCTTCTCAGACTTTTCCTCTTCCCACCGCAAAGCTGTCTAGCTCACTTTCTTTTTTTCCTTCCTGTTCCTTTTGCTATAGGATAGCAAGCAGTAACAATATGAACAAATCCGAGAGTGACCAAGAAGACAATGACGATATAAATGATAATGACTGGTCATATGGATCCGAAAAGAAAGGTAAGACAAGGAAGGGGTTTGGCGGCGTATTATTTATTCTGTTTATAAATAGCATATTCTGTACTGTTTTCTGGATTACAACAATAAGACCTCAAAGGAAAGGGTGTTCAAATAATACGGATAAACCAAACCATAACTTGACGAAAACGGGAATGATTTACAGATGGAACAAAATAAATTCCTTTAGGTGGGCAGATAAGGTTTTAGAGGAGGGACCAGTCTAACAGATGCAGATGTTGCTGAACCACAACTTCTGCCATCCCTGACAATGGACCATGTTAGGGCTGATGGGAGTTGAAGTCTAGCAACATCTGGATGGCCACAGGTTCCCCATAGGCATCTCTGGCCTGTGGGAGCATGTAGCCCAGTTCAAAAGTTGTCCATTTGCATCAGGTGTTTGGCTTTATAAAGAAAGCACAGGACAGGGGAAATAGCCTGGAAACACTAGACAGAATTGGGTTTGTTCTTTTTTTTCAGATTGGTAGGCCAAGGCTTTATCATGTTGATGAATATCATCATTTGACTTAGAATATCATTGTGCAGCATTCTGTCTACAGTGTTTCCCAAACTTGAGGTCTCCAGCTGTTTTTGGACTACAACTCACATCATCTCTAGCTAGCAGGACCGGTGGTCAGGAACGATGGGAATTGTATTCCAGAAACAGATGGAGACCCAAGTTTGGGAAACGCTGGAAGGTTTTGCGGAAAGCATTTGCCAGAACTACCCCTTGAGCTAACAGAGACTGTGCTTTGTTCTTGGGGTGTTTTGTTAAAATAGTCTCGTCTCTTTTCCTTCCTAGCAAAAAAGAGAAAATCAGATAAGGTAAGACTATCCTTATGCATACTGGCACAGTTAAATGAGATGTACCTTTTCTAACTTTTTTTGCAAAGAGCGATCAGTACAGGAGAAAACTTGAAAGACACACATCCCTTGTGCATGTGAGCAGACCTGCTGGTTTCCCTCAACTTTCTCGATCTTAAACCTATATGCCGCATGTTGCTTGCCAAATCTTGGGAGGGTTGGGGGAGGCTGTTGATGGAGAGCGCTGCATCCTTTGGAATGGCCTGGTGGTAGATTTTACTCACACTTGTTCTGATTGGCAGCTTTTCAGGAGGATGCCCTCCAGCAGCTTGTTGAGTGATTCTGGTCCCCAACTCTATTGCACAAAGATCCTGTAAATATACTTCTGTGTACCTGGATGCTTCTTTCTAATTTTTTACTGCTAGACAGTGCACCTGTTCTGTTGGTTATGGCAAGGAGTGCTCGGCTTTTGGGGCTCGATAACTTTGGCCATTTGACCACTACCTTCCTCTGATGTCACTTTTCTTTTCCTTTTTTTAAAAAATAAATTTTATTAGGGTATATAGAGAAAAATACATAATTTAATATCGAAACATATTTCCTCCTCTTTCTTTCTTTCTTTCTTTCTTTTTTTTTTGTCCAAACTAAGACTTTAAATATAGTAAAAGCATAAAGAGAAGGGGAGGGAGAGAGTGAAAGGAATAAAGAAATAGAAAAGAGGTTAAGAAAGAGAGAGAGAGAGAAATAAAATTCAGAAGGTAAGGGACTTCTGATTCTTCATCTGTCAGCTATATATAAACAATATTCACTTCACCCACTCCAATATAATACCTAGCAAAGCCACTTTCCATAAACAAGTATTATCTTCAATCCTCAACTCCAAATGTCATTATTTCTTGTTCTTTTTCACTCCAAAAGCCTATGGGAGTTTTCCAATCTTTTAACAAATGTTAGCAATGACTTTTCCCTGATTAAACATGTCAGTTTCGCCATCTCCACTAAGTCCGTTATTTTAACAGCCATTCTTCGGTTGCTGGTAACAATGGGTCCTTCCATCTTTCTGCATATAAAAGTCTCAGAGCCGTCATCGTATATTGAAGCAAAGTTCCATAGTCCCGTCTGATGTCACTTTTCAAGGTTAGCAGTAAGGTGTTGTTGTTTTTTAAATGACCCTTTGCTGCTCTTCTCCTTTTGTTTCAGAATCCCAACTCGCCCCGACGATCCAAGTCCCTGAAACATAAAAATGGTGAGTGCATTATGTGTGTCGGTTCTCTTCGCTCATTCCCTCCTTACATACTACAGCAGCATTTCCTGGGCTCCTTAAGCATAACTTCTCTGTGTTAATTAAAATCTGGCATCCAAGTAGATTGGGGTTGACAGGGAAAGGCATAGTATGGATGGCCTTTAAATTGGTCTGACAGGTTGGGAGAGAGGGTTTTTTAAAACACACACACACACACACACACACACACACACATAATTTGGAACTTTCAAATGGGGCCTAATACACCACATATGTGGCTATCTGGGATGATGATTATGTGTGTAGCAGTTCTTTAGACCAGATGCAGATGGAGTCAGTGGAAAGAGGGTGTTGCAAAAAATACTTGGGAACAGGTATTATGCAGGACAGCTCTGAGACCACCATGCAGAATGGGGAACCTGCTCGGAGATGCCTGATAGCTCAGTTGGTAGAACATGAGACTCCTAATCATAGGGTTGTGAGTTCGAGCCTCACATTGGGCGAAATATTCCTGTGTTGCAGGGAGTTGGACTGGGTGACCCTTGCGGTCCCTTCCAACTGTATGATCCTATGACACCCAGCCTATCCCCCAACTCATCACTTGCCCTTGCGTTCCTTCCTAATAAGCTCTCAGTGCTGCCGGGAGAGTAAAATGGGGAGAGGGGAACTTTGTGGGCCTTCCAGATGTCACTGTACTCTGACATCCACCAGCCACAGCTCGCATGGCCAATGGTCAGTTACACTGAGAATTGTAGACCAGCAACATCTGGTGGTTGATAGTTTCTGCGCCCTTGGAACAAAGTGAGCTTTTCAACTGCGCTGGATGCATATTATGCTGTGCTTGTGTGTGTGTTACTATGCAAAGATAAAATATACCAGGTATGTCCAACCAGTCAACAACTTTGCTGAAGGCTCCCCCAAGAAAGCTCAACAAGGTTGGTCAATCCAATGGGTTTTTTTTACAGTGGGAGTAGATCACAGTCTCTTAGGAGTTGGACATGCCTGAAATATACAAATGAAATTCATGGTTTTGCATCCCAAGTTCTTGTTTTGTGCATTTGCTAAGGTGGAGGCCAGACATCACTATTAATATGCATCCTCTTTTTTTCTTTTTCTTTTCCCCCTTCCCTAGGGGAACTGAGTGGTAACTCGGACCCATTTAAGGTGAGTTTAGCTTGTCTCTGTAGCTCTCAACTTCTTGTGTCCAGCTTCAGAGGACTTCAGGAGACCATAGAGCTGTTCTGCGTAGCTGTCCACTGGGGTCTGAGTGGACTTTCAAGGGCCGCAGTATGGGAGCCACTGTGAATAGAGAATGCCCTTGGAGAATTGGGCCCAAAAAGCAATCGCTCTTATTTGTGTAACCTCTAAAGTGCCTTGGTCTGTGTGTATTCTGTTTCAATAGTATAACAACTCTGCTGGAATCAACTATGAAACGCTGGGCCCTGAGGAGCTCCGTACTTTGCTCACTACGGTGAGTACCAGAGTTTATTTCTGCCTCTTGCTCTTGTGCACCATCAGCTGCAAGGGTTGCCTGTTAACTATGACTTTCTTTGCTATTGGTCGTTGACTGCAATAAAAAGACTTGCTTACTATGGCTTCCTACCAGAACCTCTTTAGTGAAATCACAGCATCCAAGTCAGTGATAGCCGGAGGGCCCGTGACATCTCTTAGCCAAGTCCCACGGTGTGTTCGGCGGATAGATTAGCTATTTGCAACGAAATACTACCTTTAATATTTATTTAGCCCCAACTGACTTGTTTGTTAGGGTGTGCGGAACAGGAACAGCAGAGGAGGCAGCACAGGCAAGGCTCTGTAGGGTTAGGTTTTGAAGCACAAGGTCAGCCTGGATAGCTCAGTTGGTTTAGAGCACGGGGCTGATAAACAGGTTGCAGCTTCAATCCCCGTATGGGACAGTGCATATTCCTGCATTGCAGGGGGTTGGACTAGATGATCCTCAGGGTCCCTTCCAACTCTTAAAAGTCCGCGAAGGTTGCCGCAAAGGCCTTGACTAGCAACGTGGAGATGACGGTGGCTGACGGAGGTGTGAAAGAAAGCTGTGTGCGCAGGAATATATATGGATGCACTCTGTGAGCTGCTGCCTAGGCCTTGCTGTGGGTCCTCTCAGGTTTCCTTGTTTTTACCCCATGGAGTGTTATCGAGCTCGCCAGGGATCATGGCTTTACTCTCTTACCTTTCCCCTACTCTGAGTGGGAACGTTCCTCCACGTCTCTCTTCTCCACCTCCCAAGTAGGGTTGTTCATAGCTTCCTTGAGCCTCCCATACCTCACAGGGCCACCTCATGAGTTCCCTTGCTTCCAGGTAGGCCATATTGGCTCACCCGCCTCCACATTCCCAATAACTTTCTATCCTCCTCCTCCAGCCCCTCTTGGAGCCACTGTAACTTTTGTTTTTATCCCGGCTGTCCTCGTGGCATTTCTGAGAACTCTACCTGCATTTTGAATGTTGCTCCTCAATTTCTGGTGGCAAAAATTATTCTTACAACCCCCTTCCCCCCGTTTACTTTCCAGAATGTGTAAAAGTAAGAATCGCCTTCCATCAGAGCTCCCTTCCCGCCCCCCAATACATTTGCGTGAGACACTGTTTTGAGTGCCAACTTGATTAGGAAAGGCCAGAGTGACAACATAAGCAGAGGTGAAATAGGTAGCCTCCTCTGAGAGGTGGGCACGTTTGGTTTGCAGGGAACAGCTAATAAATTCCTTATTCCCCAGTTCTATTATACCATACAGTTAGAGCATTAGTGGTATCATGCTTGGCTGAAAGGGGCCAGCCCACTTCTGTCATATTGGTGGACTTTGATTTGTTCGCTGCTACACGCTTTTAATTTGTTGACGCCGTATATTTCCTTCTCCGTAGCAATGTGGGGTGATATCTGAGCACACCAAGAAGATGTGTACACGGTGAGAGCAGCCCTTCCTTCTACTTTCTTGAGCCCAATAACCTCTTTCCGTTCCTCTGCCGGTGCAACCGTTCCCAGGTCACAAGGAGAGTGGGAGGTATTCACGACTGCCTGCTTGGGGTGGCTGGGTGGAAGTCCAGGTTAACTGCGATGGATCTGAAAGAACACCCACACCACGATCCGTTCGCTGCCGTTGACTCAGAATTTACGCTCAGGGCCAAAACATGTCCTGAAAGCCAGGTTGGGGGGGTGTGTATTTCCTGTTGGATTAGCTCGCAAACTGCTTGCACAGGCCGAAGGTGGAAGTGGAAATCTTCCCGACTCTTCAATATACCCTTGCAACTTGCTGTTGCTGGTTTGCCTGTCACAATGCACCTTTTGTTGCTGGTCATTTATCAGTAGCTTAAAAGGGAACTAGCTCTTAATGAGTTTGCGGAGGTTTCTTTGTCTGCTTGCTTGGAAGAGACTGGGAGTGGCCGCTGAGACCATATAACACTGGTCCTGAAAGACCTACATTGGCTCCCAGTACATTTCTGAGCACAATTCAAAGTGTTGGTGCTGACCTTTAAAGCCCTAAATGGCCTTGGGCCAGTATACCTGAAGGAACGTCACCACCCACATCGTTCAACCTGGACACTGAGTTCCAGCTCTGAGGGCCTTCTGGTGGTTCCCTCACTACGAGAAGTGAGGTTACAGGGAACCAGGCAGAGGGCCTTCTCGGTGGTGGTGCCCGCCCTGTGGAATGTTCTCCCATGATATGTCAAGGAAATAAACAATTATCTGACTTTTAGAAGACATCTGAAGGCAGCCCTGTTTAGGGAAGTTTTAATGTTTGATGTTTTATCGCTTTATTATTATTAATCATAATATTCTGTTGGGAGCTGCCCACAGTGGTTGGGGAAACCCAGCCAGATGGGTGGGGCATTATTATTATTATTATTATTTATTAGTTTAAGTTACCACACGTCGCCCAGCAAACAGTTGCTCACAATCCTGCCTTAGTCATTGCCATAGGACAGATTCAGACCACTGGAAGCTGTGCAGGAACTGCTGAAAAAAAACCCTGTATGATTCCTGTAACCAGCAAATTAAGCCCAGTGTTACCACCACCACCACCACCTCCCAATCTCCCCAGAATTATGACTGGCTGTGGAAGGATGTTGGCATTGGACTTGACTGCCTGTCGGGGTGATGGATAACTTCCTTCCCAGATGGTAATGGGTGCCATGTGTTCAGTTGCCAAGTGCCCACCATAGTGCTTGCTGGTCTGCCGTTTATGCTCCCAGTTGATGGTTAATTGGGCTCATTGGTATCCATTTAAGCCCAGTGCTTGTGTGCTGCTTCTGATACCTTAACCCTGGTGAAGAGACTGGGAGTTGTCCACCAGCTTGTGTTTCCATGAAAGTTTCTTCTACCATGAAAGTTTTGCCTTCGCTTCTCTTGTCAGCCTGAACACTAATGGGTTGGCAAATGTTGGTGTAAGACATAATTGTACACTATGGCTAAAACCTTATCAGAGAAGAGAGGGAAGACTGAATATCATACAGGAGTGTACAGATCCGCAGACCCATGCATTTGACAGGCAGTGTTGATGGTCCGCATGTGTAGGTTTCTGCGCTCAGTGTAGAGTATGCAGGATTGTGTATACCCCATGCTTTTTATATTTAAAAATCCATTCAAATTCTGTGATAAAAATTGGGCAGCTTGTATAAATTATGAAATTAAGCTCTGTGACTTATTTTTAATTTTATTTTTTTAATTTTTGCATAACACTGGTGGGAAACCTATTATCCTCCAGACGGTGGACTCCAGCTCCCATCAGCCCCAATCAACATGACTAATGGTCAGGGTTTATAGAAGAAAAAACATCTGGGAGGCCACAGATTCTCCATTTCCATCACACTGCCATGGAGAGGTTGTGGAACCCCATGTCTTTATGAGTAGAAATCCTGGTCAGCATCCTCGCTCTGGCTTCTGAGGCGTCAACTGAGATTGCCCCACACTTGCAAGTCTCTTGTTTTGCAGCCATGAGAGCTACCAACTTGCTTTTAATGAAATACAGCTGAGGTCCAGAAAGTCACTGAAATCAGTGCCCACTTCCCAAATTTGAACTCTTGTGCAAAATATGCAGTCCTGGGTTTATTACTGGACCAAGGGGCCTATCTTTTTTTAAAGGATGCTCCTGATTGCATGTAATGAATGAGCCCTGAATGAATGAGCCCTGCATGTCACTGGCTTAGTTACTCCCTTTCCGGAATAGCGCAAACATTCTTTACCGCAGTCCAAAGACCCACAGAAACAGTTTTGGAACGAAATACTGCAGGAACACAGGGAAAAGATTCCAAGGCAGTCACTCTGCTTTATCCATTTCTGGAATGAATATCAATCCGTTTAGGAACAGGAAAACCTGTGTTTCTCAGCTTGTGCCTCATCCCTGACTTTCCCTGTTTTTCCTGCAGGTCTTTGCGCTGCCCCCAACACACGGATGAACAGCGGAGGTCAGTCAGAGTCTACCTCCTGGGACCTTCTGCGTAAGTGTGATGGGATGGAGGCAGGGCAGGTGTGGTGTAGGGAACCCCCCCCCAAAAAAAAAGTGTCATGTGATTAACACTTAAGTTCAGCTGGAAGGATTCTGGAGAAGGACTGTGCTTGCTTTTGTAAAAAAAAAAAAGCTGAATTCTTCAACTGACATAAATTGAGAATCTTTCTGTAGCTGATTAGCATAATTCTGCATAGGTGGTCAAGGGGAGGCGGCAGGACTGGGAGAAACCTTACTTGGCTATCCTGCTCTCTTTCGGTTGTAGTTTTGCAGCTGCGAAGCTTGTAGGTGGTTTTCTGTCTCCTTTCTTAGTAAACCCACACTCAGCGCAGCATTTTGTGTTCCTTTGAAAGCACAGAATTCATTTTGTCTTGCCTGGGATTTGCTGCCTGGATGGAAGCTATCCTGATCCAGCAGCAGCTCTCGCAAACGTGTCTCCTCCTTCATTGGCTAGTGTGCTTCAATACACAGCATGCATTGAGGGCACCCAGATTCTGTATACATTACTCACCTGAACGCCCCTTGCATGCATGCATGCGCTCTCTCTCCCTCTCTCTCCCCCCCTTTCTCTCTTCCTTTTTGTCATAACTTCCCTTCTGTTTGCACATGAGTGGAAAGCCAAGAAGTTGCCCTGAAGCCTTACCATCAGCAAGTCATCCTCAGCCTCTATCCACTCAAGCTTCTGCCATTCCACCCCATGCTGCCCACACATCTTACAACTTGCTTTCTCAGTCAGCTAGACAATTTTGTTTTAATGCACTGCACAACATTAGATCACATCCCCATTACTCTGTATCAGTTAATACCTAGGGACCCTCCAGTCCTCGATCATTATTGGAAATTTAAAAATCTCCAATTTTACCTGTAAAAGTTGGACATGGTGGGGACCAGCCCTGTGTCAGTCCTAATCTTGGTATGACAACTTTGTTAAGAGTCTTGAAGTGTAAATCAGAAGATTTTGCCATTTTGGTCTAGTTCAAGGATTGGGAACCTTTAGGGTCCTCTAGATATCACTAGATTCCCACCTCCTATCAGTCTCAGTCAGCGTGGACTGTGGTCAGGGACAGGGAAAATGGTGGTCCAGCAAAGCCATCTAAGCTAGCTATCTCCTTGAAGTCACACCCATAATGATGCATTACTTCTGTCTGCAGTCAATAATTAGGGAGCCTGGAATGCTAACGTTGGGAGTTATTTCATCTGCAAAGTGATCTTGAGTATTATGTGGCTCGAAGTCCTGAATGTTTTGCAAAGGTTTTGCAGAATCCTTTTCTCTGGAGAGAGCGGTCAAATTGGATGCGAAGGCAAGGAGGAGGAATGGAGTGTTTAGCTTTGTGACGCTGCCTTGTTTCCTTTTTACTCTTGACATGGCTTTAAAACCTCAGCCGAGAAGCTGCAGAAGCAGCTGGAGGGGGGGGTCATCTTGCTCCTTCACCCCTTCTCATACATCTGCCCCTTTTCCTAGCTCACTTCCTGAGGCGGAAGGAAGTGTGGAGAACGACAGTTTTGACGTGGCAGAAAGTCAAGCCCTCATGAATAGACTGCAGTGGGACGGATCTTCAGATATCTCACCTTCTGACTCGGCCTCATCGAAAGCAAGTAAGAATCGGACGGGGTGCCCAGTTAGAGCATGGCATAAGTTGGTGATGGACTGGGCTGCCATTAGTGCTGGGACGGCATGTTCTTTGTGCCTTTTCTAAAACAATCTTCCCCAAGAATCTCTTACAGTGGTATATCGGGTTACGAACTTAATTCGTTCTAGAGGTCCGTTCTTAACCTGAAACCGTTCTTAACCTGAGGCGTGCTTTCGCAAATGGGGCCTCCCGTGCTGCCGCATGATTTCTGTTCTCATCCTGGGGCAAAGTTCTTAACCCGAGGTACTACTTCTGGGTTAGCGGAGTCTGTAACCTGAAGCATACAATATTTTTTGCACCATAACACTCACTTTTTTCCTCCTAGAAAGTAAGGGGAAATGTCTGTGCGTGTTATGGAGCAAATGCCTACGGATGGGGGCGGGATCTGCTGCAGTCAATCCATGGTTCCCCTTCCTTCCCTCCTCCATGGCTCGCTTTGAAACAGCAAAGCGGGAGAAGAGCTGCTGAGTGGGGAGAAGAGAGGGACAGAGAGCCTGCTTGCTTTAAAGGAGCAAAGCGGGAGAGGAGAGGAGCCTTCTCCTCTTATACCCCTCTTCTGCATTATTAATAGCATCCTTCTCCACCCACCCCACACATGTTCCTTGTCCCTTGAGTGCTTTTCCTTCCCTCCCCACTTAAAACGTTACAAAGCACGGATCCACATGGATCCTCAGGATTTTTGCACTGGGTCACCCCAAATTCACCATCAGATCACATAGCATGTCCATAGCTACAGCTTGCACCAAAAAAATCACGCACCCACTGTTGCCTGGGGCTGCAGTGGTGCAAAAACGTGGTTACAAAGCATGGATCCACATGGATCCTCAGGATTTTTGAATTGGGCTACCCCAAACTCACCGTCAGATCACATGTCTGTGGCCACAGCATGAACCACAAAAATCATACATCCACTGTTTTGTTTAGAATATTTTTTTTCTTGTTTTCCTCCTCTAAAAACTATGTGCGTGTTATGGTCGGGTGCGTGTTATAGAGCAAAAAGTACGGTATGTAACCTAAAGCGTATGTAACCCGAGGTACCACTGTACAAAGTGTTGTCAACAGAGGAAAGTGTCTATGAAATATACCAGAGGCTTAACGGGCACTTGCCTTCTTCTCCACCTCAGGTACAAACAACTCAGAGTCCCGGAAAACCAAAAAGAAGAAACCACACATGAGCCTGGTAGGAGGTGCTCCAGGAATGAGCTCCAGCAAGAAGAAACTGAAGCCGAAGCAGCTTGCACCTCCCACCCCCAGCCTTTATGACGACATCAATTGAATAATGCTGGGATGAGGATAAAGAAAGCAGGGAGGAGGGGAGGTGCCCCGGAACCCCGTCCAACCCAGTTTGCGGGAAAGGAGCAGGACTGTCTCCTCTCAGGCACACCTTTTTATGAACTGTGAAGAGAGTTGGCTGCATGTCTCCCTTTTCCTCCCAAGCCTCCAGCACACATTGCACAGCCCTTTGTGTCCACTGGATGTGAGAACGAAAGGACCGGACTGCTTTTGGTGCAGTGGGCACCCACCTCTTCCGGGGAAAAGCAGGGGGTGGTGTTTTGAGGCGGGGCCTTGAAGATGAGTGACTCCGTCAGCCAGGGAGTCGCTATTCTCTTTCCTCCCCCACCCCACCCCCCTCCCCGTTTCAACACGTCTATTTATTGTGATGTTAGTGGATGTTCAATCATGACTATATATACGGTGGCATTGTATCGCTTCGCAGCCCTGGAGACTGACTGGGCGGGGTGGTGTGTGTGCAGCCTTTTCGGCCTGGTTTGCGAGAGAATTAAAGGGTCTCTGGGGGGAAATGGAGAATGTCTGTTGCGCTTCAGTGCCTGCCCTTCCTTCTCGAGAGCCTCTGCTCCAAAACGGAGCCTCCTTTCCGTCGTGCGAAGGGGGCACCAGATCGTGAACCTGCCTCTGAGCTGCGGCGGCGGCGCTCCGTTGTTCAAAAGGCTGTCTCCGTGGCTGCTGTATCCCTCTTGCCCCCCTAAGCAGGAATAATGTTCTTGCTGCAGAGAGCAGTCCTCAGACGTCTGCACAACCTGAGCAAACTGGGATGGAGGCCGAAGAGAGGTTTGGTGTTGTGTTGCTGCTGTCACTACTGCCAAACGGTGTCTGCTTCCCTGCCAAATGGCATTTCCAAGACTGTGTATGAAGCAACATGATGAATGGCTTTGATGATGTGGGCAGTCTCTCCCGGCGATGCATGTCAGGAAGCTGGTGCAGCTGTTTGCTTCCTAACTCTTCCTATACTGGGCACAAATCTACGTTTTGCCCAGCCCTGGTGAGCCAATACCATAAGATTTGCAATGCTTTATACATACTCCGTATGCAGGTATGAATCTCCGTACAGCCCTAAAAATTGGCTGTAAATTTAGAATAGTTGGTTGTTGCTTTTTTTAATTAAAAAAATATGGCTCTGCAGTTTAACATCCCTCAGAAGATGTTAATGAAGGTCAAGCACAGGAGGGGCAGCGCTGCCTTCCCTACTGTGGCCTGTGTGGGTCGATGAATCTAAACATAACCTTGCTGGAGTATTAGAGCCAATCTAAGTGTGCCTGGGTGGGGCAGTAGAAGAGATGAGAGGGAGGATGTATACTCTTAAGTGAGTACTTCCACCGCTCTCTCCCCATCTATATAAACCTCCCTTCCACCTCAATCCTGGCCTGAATTCTATTCCTTCTGTAAGCAGGTGCAGTTTTTAAAACGCCAGAAATCATGGTGGTCCTAGATGGAAACTTGAAATTGCAAAGTTGATTCCGGAAGGTGGAGTGTTGCAGGTTTTCATTGTGTGTCTCTGCTTCTCTCTTTTCTGGAATTTTGACAAGACTTAGAAAAGGGCATGTGCTGTCCAATAAGCTTTGTGCAAGCCCAGCCCTGCCACCCCAGCTTCTGAACATACTTAAAGGGAATTTCTCGTGTATTCTTTTTCCCTTTCCTCTATTCCAGAGAATGCAAATATGTGTGTGTGTTTGGGGGGGGGGAGGGAGATACTAAGATTTTCCCTCCCATAAATCTGTTCTGTTGCAGCTACGCACATGCCTGCTTCAGCACAGCGATGTCTGCTGCTGATGCTGGTTTTTCAGGACTGAGCCTTTCGAACCTTTTCCTCCATTCTCATAGCAGCTGAAAAAGCCAGTTGGGTTGCAGATGAAAGTCCGCCTTTGCCACGGCTAAAATTCATAGGCTTAGTTCTGTAAGGAGAGGCTTCTCTGAGCAATCACTTCCTACAGTCCCGAAACAGAAAACTTTTCAGATGTTCAGCTGTTTGTATGGAGGGTCTCCGAAGAGCCTTATATCTTCCTGCTTTCTCCTTAGTTTTTCACACTTTTCCTGCCTGTGAGGGCCCAAATTGTGGCGGCCGTGTTTCCCTACAATGCAGCATGGATGCTGAACCTGCAGTCACTCAGCAGGAGTGTGCGGCTGATGATGTTCAGCATGTCTGGAAGTAGAGGTAGCCTACTCAGCAAGTGAACACCATTTCTAGTTTTCTCTCTCTTTCCCCACCCCCTTGCTCCTCTTCACTTTGCTTCCCTAGGCAAAAGGTACAAGGTATGCAGGGACTGTTCAGAGGATGAGGTAGCTTTTGCTCCACATGGAGCAAGAACTCCATGTTATTTAAAGGTAAATAACATGACTTGGAGCTCTAACAGCTGAATCGTACAGTTCTTTTGTCTTGAAGGGATGGATCCTGCACCACGACCAACCTTTTTTTTTTTTAAAAGGTCACCTGTTTTCTTCTATGGCAGTCTGCACTCCCTCATCATTAGAAACCTATGCTTCCTGTTGTGCTTTAGCAAATGTTTTTGAAAACATGACTTGACAGCCTGTGCTATGCAGGCAATGATCAGCCTTGCACCCACTTCTGACTTAACTAGTTGAACCCAATCATATCTTTCCAGGGAGAAATAGTAAGGAAGAAGAGGAGGTAGACTTTTATTCAAACCAGGACCAGTTACCTTCTCTATGCCTGGCAACCAGTTGCTACCCCATTAAAATTATGTACCTGTAAAACTGAAGCGGCGCAAAAGTGGCCAGATTGAGGGAAAAGGAAGACCCCTGCTCAGCCTCCATGGTTGCAACTGAACCCTTTGGGATCATGTTGCAGATAACCTAGGAAGTGTAGCATCTGGGGAATTTTGAACATTAATTGAGGGAGGGGTAGGGTGGGGGAAGACCTAGGTCTTTTTATATATGGCTCTGTATCTGCACTTGCACCCTTTAATTTTTTTTAAGGTAGGCCTGTTTCACTTGAAGAAGAAAAAACAAACCCGTGTATTCTATCATGAGTGGACTGTTGGGAGGTTTTTAATTTGTTGATGATGATGTACAAACTGCACCTGTGTGATATCTTTGAACATGTGCAGAAATCATTGGAGTAAGTACTGTACTGTGGTCTCTGAATTATTTTTTAAAACTTGTTTTGTGTATGTAATCTCAGCTTGTACAGGTAGGTAGCTAGATTTTTTTTAAAAAAACAAAACAACCCTGTCAAATCTGTATTTTTTTTCTGCCCATCCATGGATTGCGGAATGCCTGTGTAAATAAACTGCAACTCTGCTTGGTATTTGAGCCTCAGGCTGTTCTTTGTTGCTTAGACAATTAGTCTTGTCCGACTCTTCGTGACCCCATGGACCAGAGCACACCAGTCTTCCACTGCCTCCCGGAGTTTGGTCAAATTCATGTTGGTTGCTTCGAGAACACTGTCCAACCATCTTGTCCTCTGTCGTCCCCTTCTGCTTGTGCCCTCCATCTTACCCAACATCAGAGTTTTTTCCAGAGAGCCTTCTCTTCTCATGAGGTGGCCAAAGTATTGGAGCCTCAGCTTCAGGATCTGTCCTTCCACTGAGCACTCACGGTTGATTTCCTTCAGAATGGATAGGTTTGATCTTTCTGCAGTCCATGGCTGCTGTTAGTTCTGTTAAATTGTTGCTTTCAATGCCTACTCAATCCTCATCTTGAGAGCTAGTGTTGAATCAGATCTTCTGTTGAAACCAGAGGGCTTTTTGCATTTACAAAAATGCAATTTTGGACAGCACCTGAAAGACTTGAGTGTGAGTGTGTGAGTCTAAAATAATCTACGTAATTGTCAAAAGGCAGGCATAAGCACATTGTGAAATCTCAAGAAGCTACAGAGCAAAAGCTTTGCAGGGTTGGGGAAGAGATGAGTGCGCTACAAAGCTCCTGCTCCCTCTCAAAAGCTAGAGTAAATCGCAGGAGCAAGCATGTATGTGCTAACTCAGAGTGCTCTCCAACTCCCAGAATGTTTAGCTTTTCTTGAAACAAAATTTTGAGTCTACATAGAGCACACAATCTTGCTGTAAGGCTAGTTCTGGTTGAGTGTTGCAAGATTACTCCCATCATCTCTGAGTGCTGGCCATGCTAGCTGGGACTGATAGGAAGCAAGCAGGTAGAGAACCACAAGTTAGGCACCCCTGTTTTAGACTGTAGATCAGGGATGTCCATAAGCTCAACAACTTTGGTCAATCCAATGGGGTAGATCACTGCCATTTTTTTATAGTGGGAGTAGATAGCAGTCTCTTGGGAGTTGGGCATGCCTGGCGTAGATCATGTAGCAAAGCTGTTCCGAATTTGGTGGTGTGAAAAGCCTATATATGAAGAGAATATAGAGTATATAAAATTTGGGTATGGAAACTTCCCAGCTCCAGCAAAAGCCCTTTTAAGCAAGTAAATAACTGGACGTACGTATGTAGCACACCAAAGACTGGGGGCGGGGGGCAGGGGGAAGAGTCCAATCTCTCCCAATTTACAAAAAGCTTCCCTGCCTAGTCATTTAGAGGCGATGCTTAATTGTCACGGGTAGTTACTCAGATGCCTGTTTTTATTTTCCTTCCTCTTAAAGCAGATTTGAACAAACTCCACAGAAGAAAACACGACAACATAAAATCTGCATGGATTTTTATAATACATTTCACACAGTGGATGTCAAGCGCAGGTTTAACTTAAAAGAATGATTTCTGACAACTTTTAATAAATGCCTTGATTTTAAAAGCTGGATCAGTGGTACAAATACTAGAGATTGATTTTGAGGAGAAGTGGGAAATTACTTGGCACTGATAATTACCATCGGAAATATCTGAAGTTGGTTATTCAGTTCCAACTTAGGTTAGCAACCATGAGGCCTGAAATTTAATTAGCTCCCCCAACTCCCTCCACTTAAGAGACAAGTTGTGGGATTTAAAATACTTTAGCAAGCTCAAAGAGAAGTCGCCTACAACCTAGCGGAGAGGGGTGTAGTGATTACATTTACTAGTCCTGGTCTTTTATGTCTTTGATGTCAAATCATCACCTCTGACACAGAAGACAAGGGAAATTCAGCTTGCCTGTCTTCTATCTGAAGCCCTCTCAGCCAATGACGGTGAATTCCAAGGAGATACATGTGGTTTCAATACTTGTAAGTCAACCTGGTTAACCCCCAAGTGCTGCCAATATTCTTCCTGTAGACAGTTAGAGGCAAACCATGCAAGCATCTTGGTTACTAATGGCATTCTGGATCATAATCCTTGCAGAGTGTGCACATGCAAATGACCCTCTTTGGAGAGGGCTCTTCTTTTCTACAGCACAGGGTTAGTGTGAGCATCTCAATGGAGTCCATACAGTAAGAAGTGGGCAGGTGTCTTCAGAACAGTTCAAGGTGCATGTATCTTGGCAAGGTGGGAGGGGAGAAGGCAGGTGTCTCTAGTTCACAGTGTGTCACTGTGTAACTACCATGTAATTAGTGGCGGTGAAATGGAGAGAAGCATGAGCCCAAAGATCATTCCATTCATGCTTTCCAAAGCAGTAGCAGCAGCAAACTAAACAGGCAAATGCTTAGGTGGAGAGCCCGTTTCCTCTATTGCGGGGCTCAGAAGTCTTAAGAGCATAAGGGACAGGAACTGTACTTCAGTACAAATGGGTTCTCTACGATAATCATCACCAAGTTCCAAGTCCTAGTAGCTGTGGAGGAGAACGTGGCAGCCAAATCTCTCTTTGAGGCCTAGAAGCCGGACGACAGCAAGGCAATGCTTCTGACAGCTGAAAGGATTCTATCCTGAGAGTAGGGGGAGATCAGAGCAAACACCTGTGGCCCTGCTCTCTTCTATACTTGTCTCGTTCCCCTCTTCTAGCATCACTCTTCAAAGATACCCAAATGCTGTAGCGATAGAAAATGTAGAAATTAAGTACAATTTTTCAACTCGAAGGTTTTGTGGAGCTCTAACCTCCATCAGTGGAGGATTCTGGATAAGAGCTTTATATGTCCCTCACAGGGTATGAATGAGTGGAAGTACGAAACAGAGAGCACTCAAGATTTGGCAGCTAAGGCCACTCCCTCCTTCCCCATGGCTGCTCATCGTCCATACATCCCGAAAACAAGGAAACTAAAAAAGACAGTCGCCCCAACCAAGGAAATGGTGGCCGGGGCTGTGAATAACTGCCGGTAGTTGATACGGAAATACCAGATGACCGCCAGCATCACCACAAAAATGGGAATCATCAGGTTGCCCATGCTCAAAGTAATACCGCCAGCTTCCGATGGTGCAACCACTGGGTCAGGCATGGCGGAGGTAGCAGTCTGAGACAGATGACAGTGGATTACGCAATTGTCCAGGATATTGAGAGAGCGAAGAGTCCGTGCCTGGTCCTGAAGAAGCTGGCCCTGGTAGATAAACTTCATCTGATTCTCCCGGCCTGGGAAGTACTTGCTTTGGAGAGAAAAACAAGGAAATGAACATCTAGGTCAAAGAGAGAGAGAGGGAGGGAATACTGATGGGACTGCTTTTAAATGGGTGTGGCGGAGACTGAGGAGAGTTGTAGTACAAAATACCTGCAGGGCATGATGTTGTGGGGTAAGGCCGCTTCAAAATAAGCAACAACATACCTCGCTACCCTATAAATAAATGTGTTCACAAGTAGCAGTTCTCATAGGGGATGTGGAAGTTGGTGGGGTGCATGAAACGGGGGGGGGGGGGATTTCTGCATGCTGGATCCTAGTAGCCTGGCAGCACTTCCTGGAGCGCCCATGGCTCACATCACCCCAGGGGTATTCCAAGAAGTGCTGCTGGGCTGGTAGTCGGTGCACAGAAGTCTTGCACTGCTGTGAGTGCGCTTGGAGGTCTCAAAGTTTTAAGAGGAATAAACCTCCACCCCAACCACTTTGTCGGCTAATAAACTACACACAACTCTTGCTATTTACCTACCCACCCACCTACCTGAAAAGCTTTCTTTGAAGCTTTCCCACTCTTTGGAAACATTTTTTGTTCATCTCCCACCCCCACCTTCAAATGTGTAGTGCTGTTTTTTAAAGGTCAGGTGAATGATTCAGCTCAGCAGACTGCTGTGCAACATGCTTCATGCCATTCAAAGTGAATAGGGTTCATCTGCTAGCGCTGCTCGCAGCTGCATATAATGCATTGGTTCCTTATCATCAGTATGCCAGAACCACCCTCCACTAGTCTCCTATGGACAGAACTTCTTTATGTGCAAAACTAAAACTTATTTCACAATACTGAAGAAAGTATACAAAAAAATGTCAGCCATAAGTATCCAAGACAGCATTTACCAGCATGATCCTCTACATTATTCTTTCTCATTGTATTGTGTCATCCAGATTACAGTAGAATCATAGAACTGTAGAGATGGAAGGGACCCGCAGGGTCATCTAGTCCAACCCCCTGCAGTGCAGGAATCTGAATCTGAACTAAAGCATTCATGACAGATGGCCATATGATCTCTGTTTAAAAACCTCCCATGAAGGAGAATCCACAACCTCCCAAGGGAGTCCGTCCCACTGTCAGACAGCTCTTATGTCAGAAAGCTATTCCTGGTGTTTAGTTGGAATCTTCTTTCTTGTAACTTGTGCTAAAGGTTTTTTTTATGCACATTTTAATGATCAGTGACTAAAGATTTTGAGATGTTGCATCATGTTTATCAAACCTTTTCTTATCAATGGTTTGAACACATGTATAGATGATGTACTTGTGCAAGTATTTCTTTTGGCTTTCAGTTGTTTAGTACTGTTGACAACATATGAGACAAACCATTTTACTTACTTGCTTTAACTGCAAAAAAACCAGGTTGCACTCACTGTTAATATGTGGACACAACACTTTGGAAGTGTGCATATTTTATTCATATTCAACACCACTCACCTCTTGAGGATGCCAATGGTGTCTTCTGGCTTCACAATGGCCACCTCCTCTGTGTCATTGAGGAATTTGAGGCGCACCTTGATAAATCCTGGGTTTGGTTCACTCTCCTCCATGACAGGCACAGCTTGTGGAACTCTCTGGTTCTCTTGGGAATCAGCAGCAATAGAAAAGGTCCTTTGGGACAGGCCCTGAATGTCCAACAGACGGTCTAAGGTAGCATCTGAGCTACTGCTGCTGTCTCCTTGCTCAACTGCAGGACCTGCATCAGAAGCAGGACCCTCTTCTGCCTTCTCTTCAGCCCCTTCTGCAGCACCTTGGGGCTCCGACTGTTCTGACACCGAGTTCCCCACGTAGCGTTCGATGGGGCTCAAGTGGATCACTGCTGAATCTCCAGTAGCCACAACTGTTCCCAGAAGATGGCTGCCACCATCCGCCACATATGTGGAAAGCCAGGCCAGGACCAGGGCCATGATAAGGACCACGACGCCAGCCACAACAGTGACTTCATCCCCAACACCTTCAATGATGGTCACTTCAAGGGGCTCCATCTCTTAGCTTTAGAGAATGGGGGAGCAACAAGGATAGCAGTTCTGGCCTTGACAGCAGAGGGAAATTCAGATGGCATCTGATTAGGATTTCAGTCCCATGTCTCACTGCAGTTTTTAATTAAGGAGAAAGAGAGACAGGCATCAAAGTCAGAGGGGCACAATACATAGTTCTCAGCCTAGTCCCATGAGATTTAGCCCCTACCTCAGTCATGACCTCAAGGAGCCTTGGGCAAGTTGCTATCTCAGCCTCAGTTCTCCAGTGGTAAAATGGGAATGAAAGGGTGTTGCAAGGATAAACAAGACAATGTATAAAATACTTTACAATCTGTACAAAGATGGATTGATGATATACTTAGTGAGAAAGAGGATCTAGAAAACAGAGCAGTTAAGATTGCATGCTGATGCACACTATCTTTCCAACAAATCATCAGATTTCTAGAGACCTGTTTCTTTATATTCCAACAAATCTTTTTTTAATTTACCAGCTTGGTACATGTTATCAGGAGTAAGATATCAAGCAGCCAAAATTTATATGACTTAAGGACATACTTATAGGGACTAGGTTTATTTGTTTCTTACTTACCAAGTGGGATTTAGATCTAATATTTGTAATAGAAGCCAAAACTTGTAGGCTGAAGCCTTTGTTATTCCACTAGATTGTAACCTAAGACCTTCACATCCTCTTGCCTGCTAGCCTCCCTGTCCAATATTAAAAAATAAAACTGCCTCCAGGTTAAGAGAAGTTTCCATTTGCAGAACCAGTTTGTGACGCAAAACTATGTCTTCATGGAAGCGCCTGGGGAAGATTAGTTCACAGAAGTACATTACATTACTCTGTGCTGGTTGTACTGGTTTTCAATAGATTTTCAGCCCAATTCAAGGCAGTACTTTTGATCTATAACGTCTTATAATGTCAATACGGCGAAGAAAGCAGATTACTTGGGGAAAAGAGACAGCTATGATTGAGTATGCTTTCCTCAGTCTCAGCTTTGTTACTGACCTTATAATAGCAACCCAATGTACAGAAACTAAGCAAGTGAAGCAATTCCCACTACTTATCTCCATGCCAGAAAAAATATCTTTAATTTCCTCTTGTCCAGTTGACATTAAAAGGGGCGGGGGTGGGGAGTGGCAGAAATATACTCCCCTCTATCTCATTAGGATTTTTAAGATTGACCCAGACCAACCCCTTATCCAATGATGGAAAAAATACATGTGACAGGCAAGAATTAGCCTCCTGCCATTGACTCTGATGGCCTGCTGGGGAAGTAGCCACAGTAAACAAAAAACTGGGGCACATTAAGTTTCCATTGATAAGGGAGGGAGCAAGGAACCAACAACTTGGCATGACTTAAGCACTTCATGACATATGCACTCCACGTAGTCCTCCTATTTGCACGATATAGCAGCACAGGTGATTTCCATGTCCTCCTTGGCCCCCAAGGAAGTGTATGCTAGCTGAGAGCTTTTCTGTTTTGCCCAAGTGCCTCAACCTGCCTTTTGCTGGGTTCCTGCTTCTTCCTTCTACGAAGCCTTCAAGGAGCCTGTCCCTCAACTCCTGTCTTTTAGCCTTGCTCTGATGTTCCCCATCAGCTTTGATCCGGTCCCAAGTTTCAGCAAAATCCGTCTCCCGGGTATTAACTTCTATGGGCATTGCCCCTGCCCGATGCCCCCCCCCGCAAGGTTTCCTTCTCCATTCCGTTCTCCTTCTTAGGCTTCGCCATGAGTTTTGCTTCCCAAGTTAAAAACAAAACCAAGAGCCCACTTAGGCGGGGGGGGGGGGTGTTGCTTGGGGAAGGGACGTGGAGCCTCGCCAGTGCAAAGGGAAGCAGCTTCAGGGCCGCGAGAGGTGACAGAAAGGAGGCAGGGCGAGGAGGAAGCGGGGCCAAAAAGCAGCGTGCAAACGAAAAGGAAAGGTGCCGGGGCAGAGGAAACGCTGCCCGAAAGAGGGGCGTAAAGTTCCGACATTTCCAACGGGCTGGAAAGCGAAGGCAAGGGCGGAGTGGCGCCGAGGGGAAGGAGGTCCGGCCGAAAGGGCAGCAGCAGAGCGGGGAGCGCAACCGGGAGGTGCCGAGGGACTTCCCGGGGGGGAGAAGCGGAAGGGCCCGCTTCAAAGAGGTCTCGGCCCCGGAGCGTCAAGCTGCGGGCCCGCCGGGAACCTGTCACTCACCTGCCCGAGAGCCCTTTCTTCCCCAGAGGAAACGGTTACGTCACTAACGCCCGCTGCTCACGTCACTTCGAGGCGCGCGAGGTTGCCAGGATGGAAGGCCGCGGTTGCCATAGCAGCGGCTGTGGAAGGGAATGGGTGACGTCTATATTAGGCGTCCAAGGCGTATTGCGTACATTTAGCATTTTATATACAGTACTCTCCAGCTATGAAATGTGGTTTTTCTCCAGTGAACAGAACAGACAGCACCATATAAATTGATATATATGCGCATGTCTGAGTATTTTTATCCTGCCCACCCCCATATCTTTCCACCCAAGGGGGGAAATCGGAGAAATCGGGGTTTTTAACTGCAATGTTAAGAGATCGCACTGCAAGGCTGTTTCAGGTCACTCTTTGCTGGGCGCAGTCCACCAGCTTCACTGCCCAGCCTCCACGCGTAAGAGGATAATAGAGGGACTTTATCAGTAGGGGGAGGTTTCCGAAACGTTATCAGAACATTGTAAAATTTGTTTCCCTCCCCACAACACAAAAGCAGCTGTTGGGGCCCACTTGTAACACTGTCCGCTTCTTCTAGCACACCCTGGTCCCATTCCACATAAAAACTCACAAATCGTGAAAGAAAAGATTCTGTATTATCTCTGAAGTTATGTTTCCTACGTTTCTGAAATTACGCAGTGAGGTTATACTCGTCTGACAATAGGAAGAAATAAGGTATATTTATTTAACTTACAGTAATTATTTGTAAATGTGTATATATACATATATATAAGCATATGCAAATTCTCCTTTTGATGGTAGGCCATCCTGTTCACGGGAGTTTGTTGCTGCAACTCCAGGTATTTTTACATGATGGCCGTTGTCTGGGGGGCTTGCATTTCAGTCTGGTTTTTGGCCTCAGTTTGGTACTGAAACATCTTTGGTTGCCCTGATGGAGACAGAGATAGAGAGAGAAGGGGAGTTCAGCTCTGTTAACTCTCCTAAAACTTTTGACAGTCTTTGATATTATGAGTCCTTTTATCCTAGTGGTTCCTAATTGGGGATCCATGGACCTCAAGGGGTGTACGTAACACCACACACACACACACACACCGGTTTGTGGCACCATTTGCATAACAAAAACCACCATAGCTATATCAAAATTTTCAAAAGTAAGGGGTCCATGGCTTGGCTTTTGAAAAACAGGGTCTGCAGTACTTACCTAATTGGGAACCACCGTCCTGGAATGAATATTAGGGCATAGTGGCAGGGGGCATGCACACTAGACCATGTTGCAACAGTTCCCTTTCTAGGTTGATGGCCACTTCTATTGTTGATGGCAACAATCCTCCAGGAGTTATGCTATGGCGTTCCACGTGGCTCCATTTTGCATCTCTCACTGCTTAACATCTGTATTAAGCCACTGAGCAAAGTCATATTGGTATCCAGAGCAAGGTATCCTCCATCTGCTACAGAAGCAATATATCTCCTTTTCATTGTATTCAATAAAAGACTTTGCCCAAGGAAGGGCACATGCGTCTCACCGCTGTGTGCCTTCTGGTGAGCTTTTCCAGCAGGGTATTATGTGGCACTGTCTTTTGAAATGGGCTCTTCTCTTATTTTTATTCTGTTTTTGATTGCATTGTCATTCAGTATTTTTTATTGTTTAAAAGTTTGCTGTGATAGCAGCCTTTAATATATTTTAATACAAAATAGTTGATCAAAAGAGGCAGGTTATATAAATAGATAGGCAGGTTAATAGCAATGATGATGTCTACGATATGGTGTTGCGGGCAGGAGCTGGAACATTGCAGCAAGAGATTTTGTTACACTGCTAGATTCAAAGGGCATCTTTGACTAACATTTTGATAAGAGAAAACATAAAAGCAGACACAAGCTAAATAAAGGAAATAATCAGTTTAATACTAATCAGTATTAGTGCAGTCAAAGATTATATGGTGAAGGGGCCTAACAGTACATCATGGGGCAATTGTCAGCCATTTTCAGACATAAATATAAATGTGTTAAAATATAATTAAAATAATTTAGATTTAAAGTGTCAGGTGCCCAAGTGCTCATTCAGGCCCCAGGTTCTAGGGTGATCCTTGACCACTTCAAGATGAGAGAGCAGATGGCTGCTGAATATACCATTCCCAGACAATTTTACATTTCACCACAACCTTATTAATAGTGCTTAACGAGCAGCTTCTCATAAATTTGGAGAAATGGCCACTTGGAAAAATAAGTATGTCATTCTGAATTTTTGACTTCTATCTTCTTGAGGCCAGTGTATACATTCCTCATCACTGGAGATAGCCCTCCAGTGGGAGATGTAGGTAGTCTTGCAGAGAAGATGGCAGTTTCAACTGAGCAATGCCCTGATGGCATTGCGGCCCCAGCTGCTTCCGCACAGCACAACGGGCCAGATGTTGCAGACGGCGGGGCTGATTCACCAGGTAGACGGCTGAATCGTAGAACACCTGATGTTCCTGTCCAAATGCAAAGAAAAGTAAAATGAGGCATTGAACGCACACACACACCACAGCACCAGGCTGGTCCATGGAGGCAAATTGGGTAATGCCCCACCAACTGCAATCTGCCCTCAGGCACTTCCCACCAGCCTGCCTTCTTGCTTACAACCAGCCTAGGGAAGTGACCCTAGCAGTCAACTCCCTCCTCCTTAGCTTGGTGTTGTCACTATAGAAGTCAGCAGCGAGGAGGATAAGCACAAACCTAGAATTAGTTGGCTCTGCCTGTTATTAGCCCTGGGTCCACTCTGTGTTGGCCTCTCTGCCTTCTGAGTCTTAAGACACATCAGCCTCCAGTGACCACCACAAACATAATCCTCTCATTCTTCTCCCTGAGCCTTGGCTGAGGCCGATAGGAACTGCAATATCTGGAGGGCCACAGGTTCCCTGTCCCTGTAGTAGCAGAAGCAACCAGGCAGGCATGCCATACAAAATCATATTATTCTATAGGGCATATGGGGTGAGCTGCTGTTGCTCTGTTCCAGCTCCTGCCTACCTAGCAGTTCAAAAGCACGCCAGTGCAAGTAGATAAATAGGTACCGCTGTGGCGGGAAGGTAAACGGCGTTTCCGTGCACTCAGGTTTCTGTGCACTCTTGTTTCCGTCACAGTGTTCCATTGCGCCAGAAGCGGTTTATTCATGCTGGCCACATGACCCAGAAAACTGTCTGTGGATAAATGCCAGCTCCCTTGGCCTGAAAGCGAAATGAGCACCGCAACCCCATCGTCGCCTTTCACTGGACTTAACCGTCCAGGGGTCCTTTACCTTTTTACCTTTACCTTAGTATAATTATAGAAAATAAAATAAAACGGACTACTACAAATTTTTCCAAACTCTGGAGATATTTTAATTATGCTTAGTATTTTCGGAGCACTTTGCACTCCACACATTTCACATAATTAGCACTAGAAATTCTGTAACGGGAATAATGCTAGCCCAGAAACACACCTATCAGTGCATCAGCAGGACAGGCAAAGGGTACCACTCAAACCTCCCAGAGAGCCTTACTCTTTCCTCTTCCCTTTTGTAAGTCTCTGCTGCTATTTGACCCGTCTCTCTCTCGTCATTGGTTCATAGAAGAATAATGGCCCTTCAGGATGTCATGGGTTTGTTGCTCTGATGTCACATGAGTCCTGACCTGTCTTGGCTTGGGCAGTCAAAAGAGTTTGTCATTTTAGAACTTCCACTCTGAATTCCAAGGTTTATAAGCATCCTGTGTGAAACTAAACCTGCTCATCTATGGCTGGTTACAAGTTCACAAGATGGAATGCTTGTTTTTTGTTTTGTTTTTTAATAAACTTCCACAGAGAACCACCACACTAGGGAGGTGTGTTCTAGCCTAACATGCTAGTTCAGGTAGACATGTTTAGGTAGGCATGTTCTCCACCCCATGTTCTCCACCATCATGAGAGCCCTCATTTAGAGCCTGGACACATTTTGACCACCACAGGGAGAACTGACCCAACAATGGCATTCCATGAACTTTCAGATGGCATAATAGATTGTACCCAATGTTCAGACAACTGAAATGAATGGGCATGACTAATTTAGGGTCATTAATCTTAGAGGGCCTGTTAAATATAATTTAGTTGGATATGGTTGAGTGGGTGCTAACCAGGTTAGTTGAGTGGTCCCTTTGCTTAGAGACAACAGCTTGTCATAGGCCACCACACTGAATTCTTTATCTGAGCTGCAGTTTGCATGGACTTCCATGTTCATATCTCATATCCATTGCCACCATGGACCATGCCACACCCGCTTGACTACTACTGCACATTTTATTAGTGTGCCAAAGTTCGTTCTTTAGGAAAGCAAAGTTCTGCAGTACAGCCAAGGGGATGGACATACGGGGATGGACGGACACACACACACACACACACACACACACACACATGTCAGGTGCCCAATTCAGGAATTTTAAGGATAGATCAGGGATAAATATGAAAGTAGTCAAAGAAATGTTAGGTGGCAGAAAGTACTGAGTTAGAAGGAGAAAAATGAGGCCTGGATCTTACAAATGGTAGATGAGCTTGCATTTGCGCTCCGCCATACAAAAATGTAGTCTCCAAATATAGAAAACTAGCTGTCAGGGAAGCAGAGCTGTAGCCTCACCTTCTTCCCAAGATGCACTGTTCTCAAGATTCATTGTTTGGTACACCATCTCTCATTTTGCAGGAGAAAACAGCAAGCCTTGTGATTGCATAAGTGTGTGTATATGTGTTTGTTTTTGTGTTGCATTACATTGGATTGGAGGAATTTACCTGCCACACTTCAAGAGGCACAGAATCCACCCAAGAATCACAGGGTGGGATCCGGTCATAGGAATTTAGAACAACTTCCATAGCTTGAGGTGACAAGGCACAAAATTTTAGCATCTGAAGGCAAAATTACCAAGCAGAGAGAGAGAGATAAAATGCATGTGTGAGCATACTGAAAAGAAAAGAAGAGGTAGATTCAGTTCCGCTCCTACTCCCAGGGACCCCTTCTTCCATCTCCAGGCCCCATCAAACCTTGATTCTCTCATATCATTCCTTTCCTTCTATTTACAGACATGACTTACGGAACTGTAGTCCAGAACATCTGGAGGGCACCAGGTTGGCCAAGGCTGCCACAGACAAATGTTCTCCTCCCCACCACCTAAGGACTAACCAAAACCATGTTGCTGCCTACCCAGGGACTAAATGACTCCCACCCACTTTGTTTTCCACATACTGAATGGTAGGTTAAATTTACTACATACTGTGCTGACAGAGAGTGTCTTCCATCATACAAGAGGACAACAAGGTAACTTAAGAGGCGCAGGGCAGACCACACCCTACAAACAACTCCACCCTCCAGCGCCTCCTTGCTACCCCAAAGCTGCTTACTGGTGTGGCCAGCCCTGCCTTCTCCTCCTATTGGGTTGAATGTACAAAAAGGTTCCCCAGTACCAAGGACAGCCAGCAGCTTATAGAGGTGGCGACCCTTTACCTTGGGATTGATAGAAGCAGCACCATGGTCGAGCAAGGTGGCTATAAGCCTCTCAGGTTGCCCCTCCAGGTAATCTTCCACTGCTTGCAGGGCACAATCCACAGGTGTGTAGCCGGCACAGTTTCTAACGTTGACCTGTGCCCCGTGCTGCAGCAGAAGCTCCACAATGCGGATGTGGCAGTTGCTGCAGGCGTTGTGCAGGGGCGTATGGTTCTTCCGGCCAGCTATCCGGACGTCGGCCCCACCTTCCAGCAGCCGCTTCACCACCCGGTAGTAGCGGCCAGCCTCCTCAGGCCTGTCTGCATTGGCACAGGCCGTGTTGAGGGCTGTCTCTCCCTCTCGGTTCCTGTGGGCAACCTTTGCTCCATAGCAGAGGTAGAGCTTCGTGTGGTCGTCCAGGCCGTGCTTTGCAGCCACGTGCAATGGGGAAGCACGGTGGTCTCTTGTATTCTGGTTGACCAGAGCTCCATACTCCAGGAGCAGCTGGGCGCATCTGGAAAGCACAAGGAGTAGCTGTGGGGAATTTGGCAACCATCACACGATCCAACCCATGGGTGGGTGCAGGAAGCTTGCACAATATTTATCTGGGGAAGCAGCAGTGAACACAGTCTTCTGCCACTCTGTTGTTGTTGTTTTTTGTTTTAAAAGAATCAGGACGCATATAGGACATGACCCTACAACTGGAAGTGAAGGGGCTAGAGGGACCCTTTTGGCCTAAGTGTGTCCATAACAATGGCTTCTCTCCCCCCAGTTAGATATGCTTGCAAACGATATGGCCTACTTAGCATGACCCATTTAAAGGTAAAGGTACCCCTGCCCGTACAGGCCAGTCTTGACAGACTCTAGGCTTGTGCGCCCATCTCACTCAAGAGGCCGGGGGCCAGCGCTGTCCGGAGACACTTCCGGGTCACGTGGCCAGCGTGACATCGCTGCTCTGGTGAGCCAGAGCCGCACACGGAAACGCCGTTTACCTTCCCGCTAGTAAGCGGTCCCTATTTATCTACTTGCACCCGGGAGTGCTTTCGAACTGCTAGGTTGGCAGGCTCTGGGACTGAACAACAGGAGCGCACCCCGCCGCGGGGATTTGAACCGCCGACCTTTCAATCGGCAAGCCCTAGGCGTGAGGCTTTTACCCACAGCGCCACCCGCGTCCCATTTAGCTGCCCACAAGGTGTTTTTAGAAGCAAAAGTCAAGCTGCCCAATTGCAACAGACCTTGCAGTTGGAAATTTCCTGGTAGTGTCAGTAATGTCTGGGAGAGTGACAGGAGTCTGGGAATCGAACTCCAAGACCAACAGGAAGACTGAATGCAAGGTATTCTGTTGAAGCACATGATCACGCGTCCTTCACGTGTAACAATGTACCAGGACTGTATAAATATGTGTTGTGCACTCTTTAGAGTTGTGGAGAGTTGGGTATTAACCTAATCTGTGCCTTCTGCCATGGTTTTCCACCCTGGTGTGTTCATTGGCTACATTCACCCCAGCTCAGCTGGACACTTTTCATTAACAGAAGAATACAGCTTTCTCCGGAAGCGTAGCTGGAGAAAAGTGCCAGTGATTGGGGTTCCACTGCCCTGCAAACATGCTCTCTACCCCCATGACTAGGAGGACCAGAAAACAGTAGGGAACAGAATAAACAAAAGCAATTATGCCAAACAAGATTAAACTCGGTGGTTCTTGCTTCAGAATTGCCCAAGGATTGTAATATTTAACACCACGCTCTGCATAATTTATTGAGGTAGTACAATCTACATTTAATTTAGCATGGGAGAAAGTCACTTTTGCAGTTGAATTAAGGAGCCCCCTGCCAAGTCCACCAGGAAGGCTAATTGTTAGTTTAATAGAGGCTAATCGTTAGTCCTATTTGGCTAATTACTTTGCTGCTATTCTGCTGTCGCCTTATTGCTGCAACACTTCAATCCACAAAAACACACCCCTTCCCAATTTCCCAGACATACGGCAAAGACTCCTGAGTGGTGCAGAGATGCAGAGGGGCCAGTCCATCCTCCGAAAGAAGGTTGGGGTTTGCGCTGTAGCTCAGGAGCAAGCGGGTGCACTCTGCGCGGTGGTTGGCACAGCTTTCGTGAATGGCGGCTTTCCCACCAACGACAGCATCAACCTCGGCCCCTTGCAGCAGCAGGTGCTTCACACAATCCTGGTAGCCTCTGGCCGCTGTGATGCACAATGGAGAAGTGTGCTTCTTCTGGGGGGTCAGCACCCACAGCCCTGCAGAAGAAGGTTATTGGGCAGGAGGATCAGAAACTGAGAAGCGGCAGGTTAATACCACCAGTTAAATGGATTTGCAATAGGTTCAGGGCAAACAAACAGAAAATCCTTCCCACAGCGCATAACTAGGCTGCCACAAAATCTGACGATAGAACTATCAGCCACGATAGCCAATGAGCAAAACAAATACCTTAATAAATATTTAGACGCACAGAATTCCATGATTCTCTGGGGATGGGAGCAAACAGCACAGTACGACTTTCTCCGTCCTTCTCCGCTGGGGAGCTTTCCCAAAGCAATAGCCTCATGGTAGACCAGCTCTTGAATTTAAGTACTAGCCTGGGTAACCATTAGTGATCAGAAATTCCGTGCAAGCGAGTGAGCGTGAAATAATACTGCTGTTTGCCCTGAAACTACTTAAATCTGGGCAATGTGTTGCAGGTTGTGGATTAACGTGGGCCTCAAGTCTGAGGAAGTTGGAGGCTATTGCTCTTAAAAGTGTCGCAACTTGTTGACAGCAGAGAGAAAATAGCAAACATTTTCTGCCGAAGTTGCTCCTGGTTCCATGTCAAAATACCTATGTTGCAATAAAAGCAATGTGACAGAAGGCTCTGTTTACAAAGAATACCCCTTTTCATAAGGGGATTCCAAACTAACCACTTTTACTGAAGTGGCCACATTTTTGTGATTACAACTACATTTCTGGCTATTCACTTTTCCTTTTTTTTTTTAATTACTGGGCATTTAAAGGGCAGAGAAACTGTTTTCAAGACAGTGAGTGCATGCAGGTTATTCGTTTTATATGCCTCTATCATGTTCTTTTTCTAAATTGTCTCCCCACACCCTTCTAAGCTAAAAAGAAATCCTAAAAACAGACCAATGCTGAATCTTTCCCCAGCGGGACCAAAATTCCTGTGCTCCAACTTGTCGTCCTGCCAGAACCCAAGCCTTGAAAAGTCTTCCACCCCCACAGAAATGAGTCAAAATCTAAAACGCCAGTGACCAATCCAAGTGATCTTCTTTCCACTATGGACAACCCCTTCTTACCCATTTCGGCAGACCACACCAGCTCCTCACTGAGGGTCTCTACAATCAAGTTAGCAGTAGATTCATCCTTAAAAATGCTCCGGACTCTTGGAAGGTCTCCTGTGTACAGGGCATTGTGAACAGCAGGATCCCGGCAATACTGTGGGCGTCGTGCAGGTTTGGGGAGTGCAGAGAGGCTCCCCAAACTAGGCTGGTACCTCCGACTCACAGACTGGCGAGACGCAGCTCTCCGCCGGTCTTCCCATTCCAGCATTTCTTGCTGCAGACGCAAGGAGCGAAGGGTGGAAGAAGTGAACGTGAAAGTTTCCTTCGACATTCTTGCATGCGAGAGGAGAAGGCAGCCAAAGTTTCTCCACACAGGCCTAATTCATCCACCCCCGACCTGTGAGCTGCTTAGGAAAGGAGCACCTGCTCCCAGCTGCAATTTTAAAAGGTATGGTTACGACGCAGTGTCACCAATGGGCACATCTGTTTATTGGACGAACACCCAAGCTTTGCTGTGTCTATAAATAGAAAGGAATAGTCATCATGACAGCAAAAATACTCTCAGTCTCTCTGCAGTGTCAATTTTCCTTTCTGGATCTCCGTGCAATTAACTTGTTGGTGGATCCGTAGAAGGAAGCTGAGAAGGGTACAGTGATAAAGGAACAAAATGAGGATGGCAATCACCAAGTTTTAAGTATTTAAGCCTTCCTCCCTAGCCCCCCAAGTTATCTTGTAAGCAAAGTCTGCTGTCTGAAAAATAAGTATTAATATGGGAGGGGGAATTCAGAGCACACACTGGAAAGGGGGATTCTACCCTCTATGGTCTAAACCACTGAGCCTAGGGCTTGCTGATCAGAAGGTCAGCGGTTTGAATCCCTGCGACGGGGTGAGCTCCCGTTGCTCAGTCCCAGCTCCTGCCAACCTAGCAGTTCGAAAGCACGTCAAAAGTGCAAGTAGATAAATAGGTACCGCTCCGGTGGGAAGGTAAACGGCATTTCCGTGCGCTGCTCTGGTTTCGCCAGAAGCAGCTTAGTCATGCTGGCCACATGACCCAGAAAAACTGTCTGCGGACAAACGTTGGCTCCCTCGGCCAGTAAAGCGAGATGAGCACCGCAACCCCAAAGTCAGTTGTGACTGGACTTAACTGTCAGGGGTGCTTTACCTTTTTACAGCTGTTTAAAGTGGCACGATACTGCTTTAAATGTGTAGTGTAGATGCTGCCAAAGACATGACGAGTCAGCTGTCTAAGGATTTGTTTTGCAAATTGCCTCCTGCCTTCTGCTTATACCATGGGAAAGTCATGTTGCCACTTCACTGAATTTCATTGCCCATCCACTACGGCTCTCATTCCTTGTTGCTTCCTTTAGCTGTGCAATCCAGCTTTTATTGTTTAAAACTCCCACCTCTAACCATTGGTTATGCTAGCTGATGCTGGTTAGAATCTGGAGGGCCACAAGCTCCCTATCCTGATTTTAGTGTCTGTCTGCTTGCCAATTCAGAGGCAGTCTTTGATAATTTGGTGCCCCCAAAGAGATCTTCTGAATTATAGATCTTCTCAATTTTGCGTCTCCTTCGGCTCGGCACTGTGTGGGGGAATTGTCCTCACCGCCCTAAATCCAGCACTGGCCTATTTGGAACCTCTACCACCAACCTATGAAGATTCTCATGTGTATAACGGGGGCAGCTAAGCATATGGCATTTGAATGCTAGAACTCGCCCCGTAACACTGGTCTAATGATTTGCAAACCTTATCCCAATTTGAGTTGGCTGGGTACCAACATGAGCACAAAGAGGACAATGTCCTGTCCCCAGGAGACTTGCCAAGAGTCGGAGATGGTTGCCGCCTGCTTTCTTTCTGGCATTTGCTAAAGATGTTCCTGTTTACCAAAGCCTTCGATGTAGCAGTTAGAAACCACTTTGCTGTATCCTTTTACGTTTATTATTCATGGCACCATTTTTACCTTTTGTACACCACTTTTGATATTCACAATCATTAGCAGTATTTTAAATAAAAATAAATAGGGTGACATTCAGTCAGCTTTTCTTGAAGCTTGTGTGCAAACAGTAGTTAGTGTACATTTTTTTCTTCCATTGTATTGTTTTCCCATCTGTGCTATTTTATGCATAGTTTCCCCTTTTTTATTTGTGATTAACTGAAATATCTGTTTGAAAAAAAGGCTCCAGGAGCTGTATTCTTTTCCTCCAACCAATCTGACAGTGAGTTGTTCTCTGCATGCCACCATATTATAGTTCTATAAGCAGACTTAAACACTTAATCTTGCAGGGGATGACAGCAGCAATGACATACATTTATTATACACTTATGAGACCATCTCCGAAAAGTGCAAGTGGACAACCAGTTCCAACACACCAGTTTTTGTCATTTGAATAAATTTATGAAATTTGATCACATACATTGGCACAACTGGTCAAACTACCACAGCATTAACTGCAGCACTTTATGAGAAGAAAAAGGCATTCCATTTTTGCTGTTTCTGGTTCTTTATTGCCAGCATTCTGTTTTGCTCTAAATTTCCCAAGGAGACAAACAAGAAAAGCTGGGTTTATCCAGCTTCAATATCTCAGACCCACATTATCCATGTAGTATATGGAGGCGATTGTATGTATCCAAGAAGCTCTACATGAACAGGGGATGCTCCTCACTTCAATATGTAGAGAAGTGCAATCATGCAATGGGTATACGGCGCCAACTCTGAAAATTGAGAGGTAGCGGGGTTGGGAGGCTTGTGGTCCTCCAGTCCAAGAGCTTCCGTCCATTAGCCAATCAATGACCATTTGCCAAGGGGGCTGGGGCTGATGGGAGGAGTCCAACAACAGGAGGATCACAGACTCCCCATCCCTGCATGTGTGAAGTAACCAGTGTGCATATAAGTGCCTCAGTACTAGGAATGGCTGCTACGACATCCAGAGTTCAAATTGGCATGAGCTACCTGGCAGAGAAGGTTACTTGCCTTTCTGGAGCCAGATCTCTAAGTTAATATGTATAAAACATATTATGTACACACTCCCTTTAAAACCCACGGTCAATCAAAATGTCAATTGCAAAGGAACAAAAGGTAAGGATTAAATAAAAAGATACAACACGCTCAAGACCTTCCTTTCACAAACATCTTTTTCGCAAGGTTCTATCGGCAAAAGTCAACTTCACATATTTTGCTAACTGCTTCCATCCGCATATTATTTACAAGGTTATTTACAAGATTATTTGCATGTTGCCCCTGACATGGTTTGTGACTGAGTACCGAAGCAGGCATCAGGAGAGATAGTGTTTCAAATCGGAAGGGAACAACAGCTGCTTAATGTGCTAAACGACCGTTCTGGCTGGTTTAAACATCCAGGCAAAGCGCCCCGCGCAGGCAGAAGTAGGCCTGGAACAAGGTGTGATGCTGGGTGTGCACTGCCAGATATCTTGTTGCTTGGAAGGCTGTGCCTTTAAACAAATGGCAGGCTGCAGTAAAATTAGTTGCAGGAGCTTAATGTCCAGTGCTATTCCTGCTGGGGCTCCCGTTTCTGTCCAATTTCATCAGATTTGTTATCTGCCTTATGAAGGAGCTTCTTTCCTCCAATCACAACCAATGTTGATAAAGATGCTGAAGGCAAAAATCTCAAAGATATGTGCAAGGGAGTCAGCCTCACTGGGCAAAAAAGTCTGTGCAGGGCTCAGGACAATAGCCATGGTTCTATGACAGCATCAGTTCTATTTGAGCATCAGTGAGCTATCATAGATTGCTTTGGGCATCAAAGTTGGAGAAAAAGTCATCAGGTAGTTCTCCAAGAAGCTGGTCCAGGTCATCTGCATAGGAAGCATGAAAAGTTATTCAGGCTGCAAAACAGGAAATAAATCACCCCAGCACGGGTTCCTATTTGCACACAAGATTCTCCAAAGATCAGGGGCTGCCCATTCTCTTCAGCCTGTGGGAAAGCTGTGCAACTGAGAATAAAGGGAGAGGAAAGAAAATATTGCAGACTCATTTAGACTCAGTGAGCAAGGCTCTGGTCAGGGCTTAGTCCAGTCTATGCTTCAGACACAGAGTGCAAACACAACATTTCACAACCAGTGAGGAATTCATATTCTGATAATCTCTGCACCACGCCCCCTTTTTTTGGGTGGGGTGGGGATCAATTATTGTCATTATATATATAAAGCAAACAGTCCCAGGGTGGGTAGAATTATCACTGGTTCAGGTGACACGGCCCCATCTATGCAGTGTCTCTGCCAACCTGCATTCTAAGCAAATATAGCCCAGTAGCACCGTTGTTTTAGCAGAGGCCCAACATGCTTATGTCCCTACTCAGCTGTGAATATCCTAGGAAGCGCCTCTTTCCATGGCCAAACATTTTCTACTTTGCATCTGTGTTTCATACATTTGACCTGCTTCCATGTTTCAGGTTTTCCAAAGTATTTGGAATTTTCTGGGAAGGAACCGGGCTGAGTGGGCAGGAATGCAGGTAGACAGCAGTAGTCATGAGGAAGGGCAAAGGAGCAGCACAGAGGCATGCAGCTTCACCCCTTGGCAGCACCAAAAGCCCTGGCCAATCTCTCTCTGCTTTCAAAGCTGTTGCCAGATGCTGCTTATCAAAGCTCTCCCCGGACAAGGAGGGCTAGCTTGCCCATTTTTCAAAAGGTAAGTTCAGTCCCCGGCATGCCAAGTACAGTGGTGCCCCGCAAGACGAACGCCTCGCAAGACGGAAAACCCGCTAGACGAAAGGGTTTTCCGTTTTGGAGGTGCTTCGCAAAACGAATTTCCCTATGGAGTTGCTTCGCAAGATGAAAAAATCTTGAACGTCCCCGCGGGTTTTTTTTTCCTTTCCCCCCCTTTTCCTAAGCCGCTAAGCCGCCTATCAGCTGTTCCGCTGATAACCCGCTTAACAGCTGATCGCGAAAAGCCGCTAGACCGCTGTAGCACTAATCCGCTAAGCTGTCAATGGGCTTGCTTCGCAAGATGAAAAAACCGCTAGACGAAGAGAATCGCGGAATGGATTCTTTTCGTCTTGCGAGGCACCACTGTACCTTATTCTATCGTTGAACAACATACAGTGGTGCCTCGCAATACGAAATTAATTCGTTCCGCGAGTTTTGTCGTCTTGCGATTTTTTTCGTCTTGCGAAGCACGGTGTCGGAAAAGTTTTGGAAAAGCTTCAAAAATCACCAAAGTCTTTAAAAACCTCAAAAAAGGCTTCTATGAGTTGCTCCTCGAAGTCAAGTCGCAACTGTATTAACGGTGTTAAGAAAAAGGAAACAAACTTGCAAGACGTTTCCGTCTTGCGAAGCAAGCCCATAGGGAAAATCGTCTTGCGAAGCAGCTCAAAAAACAAAAAACCCTTTCGTCTAGCGAGTTTTTTGTCTTGCGAGGCATTCGTCTTGCGAGGTACCACTGTATCCACTTTTGCCGCACACTCTCAAATCAGCAGGTGGGATGCAGTGGTCTATGTGTGGCCCCTGAATGGTTACACACAGGGCTCTGCA